GTTAAGAACTTTTGTTAAATGTCACAATGTACCCCCAGCACAACAATAAAAAATATACAACTTTTGGTAAAAATTAAGTGTCTGACATCAAGTAGAGCCCAATATAAATCTGATGAATAAATGAATGAATAGATTAGTTCTCAAATAAAAAAAAGAATATATGTGGCAAAGCCATAAAAAAGAAACAGAAATAGATCTGATCTCACCAAAAGTTAAAATACTAGCAAGATGGTAGAGTGGCTCATACAAAAACAAAACAAAACAAAACCCCCAAAGAACCTCTCAGATGGAAAAACAAAACAAAACAAGGATGCACCAAAGGGTGCATTAGAAAATTAGATGTTAAAGTGGCTAATATCCTACAATGCTAAAAACTGTAACCGCTTTTCTACCAGAGAAAAATACCAGGCTGGTAGAGTGGCTCAAGTGGTAGAGTCTGAAGCCCTGAGTTCAAGCCCAGTCTCCCTCCCATCACAAATATATATACTATTAGTAAATGGAAAACTGAGACCTGTTGAAACTATTCCAGGAACGGGAGGGAGGGGGAATAAAGAGAATGATGGAGGGGGTGAATTCAAGTATGATGTATGTACCCCTAGCACAACCATAAAAAAAATTATTAAGAAAAGAAAAACAACATATCACTCTACCAGATATTTGCACTTTATCAATATTGTACAAGTTAACAACTACTTCTACAGAGTCTGGGCCCATAAATCAGTCAAAAAGATCAGAAGGTTTATTAGCCGCAACTCTAGTGCACAGTTTCTCAAATGTTTTGGTTTTAGGAACTCCTTCACACTCTTAAAAATTATTAAGGATTTCTAGAAGATTTTGTTTATGTAGGCTAATACCTTTCAAGGCTAAAAAAGCATTAGAAATTTAAAAATTAAATGTAAAAATTCACTTAAAATACAGTAAACCCATTTACATATTAACATAGCATTTTCAAAGAAAATTCTACTTTCCAATGCAGAAAATATTAGTGGCATTATTTTAGTTTTGCAAATCATTGTGATTACAAGTAACAATTGTGACAATAGTCACAGACATGACCAAGACCATAGCAAGGATAACCAACAGCTGGGAAAAGTGCAGTTAAAGTACTGAGTTAATCTCTAAAAACTCACATATATACATTCCCAATCTACCACTTTAGAAAATTCTAGAGAACACAAGATAAGGATATCTTCCATTAGCTGTTACATCACAATCATGTAGACTTCAGAAAACTTTGCTATACATTCAAAAGAACAAGATTAAAAAAGTGGAAAAGGCAACTATTTTCTTCTCCTTTTGTGGTACCGGAGTTTGAACTCAGGGTCTCACACTTGCTAGGCAGATGTTCTAGTACTTGAGCTACAACCCCAGCTCTTAAATACATTTTTAGTAAGAGTGTAATTTGATATGGCCTTTGAGAGGCCACCCAGCTTTTGATCCTAAGATTCCTACAGATAGGTACACACATAGACAGAGTGGGCATTCAGCACTGTTCACTGCAGTATCCTTAACATGGAAACATTAATACAGAAACAGATTTCTCCACAGGGAATGATTTAAAAAGTAAAAGCATATACATATATGCATGCATAAATGCACATTTATGTACACATGCTTACATATTCATGACATATTGTCAAGTGAAAAAATTGCAAGGCAATATCTATGATGTAAATACAAAATTTATACATGTGTGTTTAGATACCTACGAATATATACACATATTTAAAAAGTCTGGAAACATATACCAAACTGTTAAGAACAGTGTTTCTGGAAAGTATGATGGGAAGGGAACATGATAGAGAGCAGAACAAATTTCACTTTTTATTTTCTATACCACTGGATTATTTGAGTTTTTACAATGAGCAGATTACTTTTGTCATTAAAAAAAAAAATCCTAAACTAAAAAGAAACTAAAGGGAAAAACTAAGTGCAACATGGTGTACCAGATTGAATCATCTAAAAGTACAGTCATGGAAAACTGATAAAGTGCATATAAAATATAAAGCCTGTAGTGTAGCCTTAAAAACTAAATAAAAACAAAAAATAATCAGAAAAACACAGATGCTAAACTGCACTGTATTGTGACCCGGGCAACGGTAGGCACTCCTAAGCCGACAAAAGCCAAGTGACAATGTTATTGTCCTGTATATGCACAAACACTGATTTGAGTTGATTGGGGATGGAAGTCAGTGAGAGATACTTGCTCCTCTCATTATGAGAAGACCCAGAAAATGCACCAAATGTTAGCTGCAGTTGATATAAAGGGCACATTGCCTGCGGGGCACAGTCTATGGCAACAGCTATAAACAGAATTTCAATTTGAGGCCTTTTTCCAAGGTTCCCTGACATTGTGAATATCCATCTTCTTTATTATGTCATTTATTCACACTTGCCAATTTCCTCCTCTCTCTGCAATTTTGCAGAAGCAATAATTGCTAGCTCCCTGTTCCACTCCCACAAGAAGTCTCCAGCTAGGCTAAAGAGGATTGCTCAAGAAAGGCTGCCTCCTGAAGCAGGTACTTCTGCCATTTCCGTGGCTCCACTTCTCAGTCACCATTCTGTCTATCAGGAACAAAGGGAAGAACATGGTAAAAATCAAAGGCTAATTTCAGCTGGACACTGGTAGTGGCTCATGCATATAATCCTAGCTACTCAGAAGGTAGAGATCAGGAAGATAATGGCTCAAGGCCATCCCAGGCAGTTTGCAAGACCTTACTTCAAAAATACCCAACACAAAAAAAGGTTAGTGGAGTGGCTCAAGTGGTAGAGCCTGAACTCAAATCCCAGTACCGCCAAAAAACCCCAAAAAGTAGGGCTGGGGAGGGGGTGTCAAAGAACATCACAAGAAAAACTGCCCTGACCCCTTCCCTCAGCTCCATGAGCCTGGTTTTTCCTCCCCTCCTCTCCCACCCAAAACTTGCTGGACTCAGCTGCAGCTGGTGAGGTAAAGGCCAGAACTTGGCACCACCGCTATCACATTTAAATCAGAATATGCTACCCAGCCTCTCATTGCTGTATCAGAATTTAATGTCTATTTTTTAATGGGAGAGAGGCAATAATATTAGTAAATGAAATGAAATGAATGAGTAATAAGGCTTTTTTTTCTTTTGGTTGGGAGGACAGTACTGGGGCTTTGAACTCAAGGCCTAGAGCTTGCTAGGCAGGCACACTACCACCTGAGCTATAGCCCCCAGCCTCATACAGCTCTTATGATATACAAAAGAAGGTACAAAATAAAATACTGAAGGATGATCTCAACTACGTTATTTAAAAAAGTTCTAAGAACTGAACTTCTTTGGATAGTTGATGGTACTAAGAATTGCAAATTCCTAGGGGCTGGTGGAGTGGCTCAAGTGGAAGAACACCTGCCTAGCAATTGTGAGGCCCCGAGTTCAAATCCTAGTATTGCAAAAAAAAAAAGTACTGCTTGCCAGACACCAGTGGCTCACGCCTGTAATACTAGCTACTCAAGAGGCAGAGATTAGGAGGATCATGGTTCAAAGCCAGCCAGGGCAAACAGGTCATGAGATTCTATCTCAAAAATACCCAACACAAGAAAGGGTTGGTAGAGTGGTTCAAGTGGTAGAGTGCCTGTCCAGCAAGCGTAAGGCCCTAAGTTCAAGCACTAGTACCTCCTACCCCAAAAAAAGAATAACAAATTCTTAAATGTATAGTGCTTTTTATTCATTTATTTAACCTTTGGGGTTTTTTTAGATATGATCTCACAAAGTAGCCCAGGCTGGCACTGAGCTTGTGACCCTCCTGCCTCAGCTTCTCAAGTGCTGGAGATGTGAAGCTAAGTCCTTATCTTCTAGAGATATATGAAATATATGAGAAAGAAAATAGTGTGATGCTTGGGCATTTGCTTCAATATCTCTGGCACAGTTGGGTAGTCAGGGAGGAATGCCTGAGCTGTATTTAAAAAAAAGCAAGATTAGCCACAGATAAAAGTTTTGAAGCTACTTGTTGACTGGGAAGAGGAGTATTATTACATTACTTTGTATATTTTTGTATGTTTGAAAATTTCTAAAATGAAATACTTTTATAAAAAGCCACAAAAAGTAAAAAGATTTGTAGCATGGTTACAAGCTTAGGAAACAAGTGTCCAAACATGAATCTTAATCTCAGGATGTCACTGGTGTTACAGGATTCTGGAGAGACTAACTCAGAGAAGCTTTCCTGAGAGCTGATTTCAGTTTTCTCACCTTTTTACAAGATTCACAAACCTCAATAACCACAATGTCACATGAAATTAATTTTTCAACTATAATAGCACCCTAATTTTTAAAACCCTAGTCCCCTTTAACTAAGTCAAAAGGGCACAATGGTAAGTGTAGCTAGCACAATGCTACAGCATAGGGCTAAGTTCCCTGCCATAACAGGAAACAAGAAGATCTCAGAGTTTTCATTACTTTAAAAAGTTTTAAAGGGTCAATCACTACCTTCATAGGACAAATTTTAATTAAACCTTAAAACTGAGGTGCTTATTCACATCATCTGGCAACTACTCTCTCTGCTGTAAGAAATGAGTTGAATTCCATCAAGTACTATACAAAGTATTTTCTCATGGAAAAAAAGTCTGATTCTGAACCATACTTTTAAAAAAAAATTCAATTAAATCTAAACATAGAGACCTATCTATATTAATATTTCAAACATCTAATATTTAAGCTACATAAATGGATTTGGTATAAATAAGGAAATTTTTAATTTTAAGACTTCCTGATTGTATAAATTTCATGTGGCTTGTTTTAAAATATTCTTCTCTTGCTGAACAACTCTTCCTGCTCTGCATTAAAAACAGTATGTACTTCTCTGCCTAATTTTTCTTAGCTGAGTTAAGCATTTAAAAAGCTTTCTTCTTTGCTACTAAACCAGTATCTTCAGTTCTTAACTAGTCCTTAATGAGAATATGTACAAATAAACATAAATAAAAAGAAAAATTCTCCCAGCAAATGCTGTTTACAATCCCAGTAATACAGACACAGTCTTAAAAAAAAAAATCAGCTTATATTTATTTGCATAGAATCAAAGGAGAGATGTGAAAACCCAACATAGTATCTATGAGGCTTACAATTTAAGTACTAGTCCAGTTTTGGGGGAAAAAAAAATAAAAGGTTTAGTTTTCCTCCATTGCTTGAGAATGATACTATTTTATATGCTTCAGTTATGTATGCTGAAACATAAGACACCTATACATCTTTAGTTTTTGCAGAATTAGTATCAAGTTCAAAAAAGTCTTTTTTGATGATGTACCGGACACACTGCAAAATCACATTTCTTTCATGTCGAATGTCTGGAGCTAGAAGCTAAAAAAAACCAAGCAAAACATACAAAAAAAAGAGAATTAGCTGGTTGAAAATAAATAAATCCAAAAAAGCCCACAATCTAAAATATTGTATGTTCATCTGATATATAAAGAACACAGAACAATAAGAGATGTGTAGTATATTTACTGATTATTTTGTTAAGATACAATGCAAAAACATTTTCTTTTCCTCTTTTAAATTTTTTTTTTGGCGGGGGACACTACTGGGGTTTGGAACTCAGGGTCTTGAGCTTGCTAGGCAGGCACGCTACTGCTTGAGCCACGTCGCACGCCAGGCCCTCCTTCCTTTTCCTTTTAACTTACCCCAAGACTATCTAGTTTCTTAACAGCACAAATGTTCACATCTATACTCCTCTCTAGGAATATTTAGCAAAAGACAAGAAAACAGACTTAAAAGTCTGTGATTCTTTACTACAAAAATCATGTCACTCCCTCAGCTGGACAGAGTGGTTGGTGATGCTCACCTAACACCTGACCCCAGGTGTCAACCTGGGCAACACAGTGAGATCCCATCTCTTATAAAAATAAATTAATAGTAATAGTGAGAAGGAATTCCCTCAAATCCAAATCTAAAAACAGAATACAAATTGGTAAGTAGGTATGTTAAATATAGTAACAATGAAACTAGCAGTAAAAAATTCTTGACATCCCTTTTCTTTTATAACTTCCATTTTTGTGTTTATAACTAAAAGAAATCTAAGTTATTGGTACATAACCAAGGAACATGTTATTTGCCAAAACAGAATTTATTTTCTTTTCAATTTATTTTCCTATGTCATTAATATAGTTCAGAAACATAACTCCATGACCTTCAATGGAAAGTTATTTAATTTTAAAATGCAATTTAAATATATACCAATGATATTTACAAAACAGAGTATATTTCAGATCCATTTTAATAATAACCAACTGTGTATGCATGTAACACCTTGAGGTAAAATCATAGAACACTCTGACTACAACATAAGCACTTATCTAAGAAGTTAAAAAGAAACTTTTCACAGACTGTCAATTGTTTTTCAACTCCACTAAAAAATGTGGAATATTTCTATTACTCTTAGACATGAAAGTCTATCTTTGAACAGCTTCATTCTATTACTTAGAAACAGAAGGCACATTGCTTCATGTTTACAATTAGAAGAAAGTCATCACATTTTTGAGTACATATGCTACTGAGAAAGTCAACAATGCATAAAATAAATACAAATAAATAAAGGTATAGAAAGAGAAAAGGCAAAGACAGTTCTCAAAGACAGGAAACAAGAACTGTCAGAAAACCTTGGGTCTTTTCTTTCCATTACTTTGTGGTTTTCAATAGGAATTTGTTTGTTTTTCTTTTGGTGGGACTGGGGTCTGAACTCAGGGCTTTGTACTTGCAAAGCAGATGCTCCACTACTTGAGTCACACCTCCAGCCATTTTTGCTCTGGTTATTTTGAGATGGGGTTTCACAAACTCTTCCTAGGCTGGCCTCAAACTGTGATCCTCCTGATCCCGGCCTTGGAAGTAGCTAGGATTACAGGCAAGAGCTACCTCAAACAGCTTGTTTTATTTTGTTTTTTTTTTTTTTCCTTCAGCCTGACAATGTATGCAACTGTGCTTTCAATGAAAACTTTAACCTCAATACATATTTCCTTACCAACCAGTGAAACCTATATTCCTTGATTTTAAGAAGTTTGAAAACTGTAATTATTCTACATTTACTGAACACTAGCACTATGCCAAATGTAGGTTTAGAGTTAAGATACCTCACAGACAAATCTTCAAGGACCATATGAATCTTCTAACCACCACGAGCATCACAACAAATCCTAGAGGTCCTACCTCGTGATGCAAGACACAAACATTACAGTGCAGAGAAAAATTACTTACCATTTCCAAGAGATATGGATGGTGTGTTCTTGGTTCAAATATGTGATAATTGTGATAATCTTTTTTCCTCTTGGAGTTAGTCTTTTTGAAACCATTCTTCCGGTTTTCACACTTGGCTCCTGAGAAATTTCTAACAGTTGCTTTCACATCTTGCCTTGCAGTCTGAGCAATAGTGCTGTGAAGAACCTGATTTTCTGCCAGAGCGTCTGCTTCAGTCTTGATGGGAGTTTCTAAGTATGATGCAAAACAAACACAAAAATAAAAAGCAAAAAACAGAATTAACTTCACAATGATCCACCCAGTCATAATACTGACTACTTAATAACTTAGATAAAAGATTTTGCAAGGCATTTACAATGCACTCCTTTTCTTTTTTTTCTTCAAATTTTCTTCAACTGTCAAGAATGTTGTAGGCTATCACAAAGAGATACAGAATGTGATCTCTATGAAGGAAGTAATACCAGATGGAAACTTGGATCTGTACAAAGGAATGATGAGTACTGGAGAACTAGATCAAAGCTCCGTCACTAAGGAACCACTCAAAGTGAGGGTTGTCTGTATAAAGCCATAAATTAAAAGGGTGAGGCTGGGGTGTAGTGGTGCTCACCAGTAATCCCAGTTCTTGGGGAGACAGAAGTAAGAGGATCATGGCTTGAGGCTGACCAGGGCAAAGTTAGCATGAAACTCTATCTGAAAAACAAACTAAAAGCAAAAGGACTGGTGGCATGGTTTAAGTGGTAGAGCACTTGCCTAGCAAGCATGAGATTTTGAATTCAATCTCCAGTACCTCAAAAAAAGCAAAAGGTTGGAAGAAGATACCTTACATATGCCAATCACAAGAAAGCTGGAATTAAAAAAAACCAAAAACCAAAAACCTTCAGAAGAAGTACCAGGGACAAACAGCAAAGAGACACAGTTTATAATGTACAGGGCTCAATGCAGCAAGAATGCAAAACAAACTGGGCATGGTGGCACAATCCCACTACCAGAGAGGATGAAAAGCAAAAACAAAGCTACCTTTAAAACAGTAACACTTAAAGTTGATTTTCAATAAACACAAGCAGCAAAAACTCATGGAACTAAAAGGAGAAATAACAAACACATTCTTATGGCTGATGACTCAAGCATTCCACCTTTAGTAATTGAAGAACAATCAGACAGAAAATGAGTAGGAATTCAGAAGACCTGAAAACCACTAACAACTCAAATTTGACAGAAATACTCAACCTAATACATATTCTCAAGTTTACATGAACACTGACCTTGTGTTGGGCCATAAAAATGAAAGCACAGGGTTACATTCTGTGACCATAACAGAATTAAACTAAAATCATCAATGGGAAGCTAGATAGAAAACCCTGAAAATCTGGAAACTAAACAACGTATTTCTAAATAACTATAATATTGCAAAATATATATGTATTTGGGCTTTGGGCTTCTTCTTGTTTCCTGTTATACAACTCCTAAAATTCCTGAAATCTTCAAAGTGGTAATTGTCTTTTGGTACACTAGTGAGTTGACTAATGGATGGCAGTCCCTAGGTAGCTTCAGGATTTTTTTTTTTTTTTTTTTTTTTGGTGGGGGTGGTTTTACTAGAAACCAAAGGCAGAATTATAGGGTTGGGTCCTTCAGTTCTATCCCTCAACTTGTAGAGAGGAGAGATGAGCTGAAGGTTAAGGTGATCACCAATGGTCAATAATTTCATCAGTCATGCTTATGTAATGGAACCTCCAGGAAAACACAAAAGGACAGAGCTCAGAGAACATTTGTATAGTCAAACATAAGGATATTCCTGGAGGGTGGCAAACCAGAGAGGATGGCAGCTCTGTGCTCCTTCCCCTATTCTCTGCCCTATTGATCTCTTTACCTAGTGTCCACTGGTATTCTTTATAATAATCCAGTAAGTATAAGTTAGTGTTGCCTCGAGCCATGTAGCTGCTTTAGCAAATTAATCAAATGCAAGGAGTGAGTCTGCAGGAACACTGATCTACAGCTAGCCAGTCAAAACCACACCTGGCACTGGGGAGGGGGAAAGACTTGGGGATTGAGCCCTCAACCTGTGGGATCTGATACTACCTCAAGGTACGTAAGTGTGAGAATAGAACTGAATTAGAGGAAATTCAGTTGGTGTCTGCTGAAGAACTGATTGCTTGATTGGTGTGCAGGTAAAATCCCCCTCACATTTGGTCACAGAAGTCTTCTGTGTTGATTACTAAATAAGCATACAGAAGAAACCAAGTCTGATTTTTCCCCCTACATCTTCAGAATAATCTACATATTAAGTAACAAATGACAAGAAAAATTAGTAAATATTTTTGGGATAAATAAAAATTATAATGTGTCAAACCTGTAGAATGATCAAGCAGTACATGAAGGCAAATTTATAGCTTTGAATACTTCTATTAGAAATGAAAAGTCTGTTACACCCTGAACATCCTGATCTCATCCGATCTCAGAAGCTAAGCAGGGTCAGGCCTGGTTAGTATTCAAATGGAAGAAATGAAAAGTCTATAAAATCAATTATCTGCTGGGCCCTGGTGGCTCACACCTGTTAATTCTAGCTACTCAGGAGGCAGAGATCAGGAGAATCACAGTTCAAAGCCAGCCCGGGCAAATAGTTCTTCCAGAGACCCTATCTTGAAAAAACCCATCACAAAAAAAAAAAGGGCTGGTGGAGTGGTTCAAGCCCTGAGTTCAAGCCCCAGTACCGCCAGGAAAAAAAAAATACTTATCTAAGCTTTGCCAGTAATGAGGTAGATAATAAGAGAGGAAATAACAAAGTGAAAATCAATGAATTTGTATGAAAATTCATGACAAATCATAGAGAAAAATCAAGCCAGAAGCTGGTTCTTAGGAAAAAGAGAAGAGGGGGAAAATCAATGAATAACAGAGATAAAAGAGAAACTACTATAATATCACAATGAATATTATAATCAACTACATGCCAATAAATTTCAATTTAGAAGAAACAGACAATCTGTTTAGTTTTATACCTATCAAGCATATTTAATTCATGCCAGCCCAGGCAAATAGTTTATGAGACCCTATCTCAAAAGCACCCAACACAAAAACAGGGTTGGTGGAGTGGCTCTAGTGGTACAGTGCCTGCCTTGCAATATGAAGCTTGACTTCAAACCCTAGTACTGTCAAAAAGAAAAAAGAAATTAATTCACAATTAAAAACCTCCCTAACAAGAAAATGTTAGGTTCAGATGGCTTCACTGTTACACAAACAAGAAAAAAAAAAAGGTAGAAATACTATACAAAACCTTAAAAGAGGAAGAGGAAACAGATCCAAACTCATGTCAAATTCATTGTAATAAAGAGTATCACAGGCTAGCATCCTTGTGAGCATGGATGCAAAATCCCTTAAAGGTAATACACTATAACCAAGCAGATTTTACCTCAGGAAATACAGGTTCATTTGACAATTGAAAATCATTCTATGTATTTCATTACATTATTAGTCTAAGTGAGAAAAGCCATCTGAACAGTAAAAAATTCACTGTGTGTGTGTGTGTGTGTGTGTGTGTGTGTGTGTGTGTTTGCAGTACCAGGCCTTAAACTAAGGACCTTGCAAATGCTAGACAGGTGCTCTACAAGTTAAGCCACACCCCAACCCTTTTTGCTTTACTTATTTGTTGAATAGGGTTCTCCCGTTTATGCCTGGGCTGGCCTAGACCATTACCTTCCTGTTTATGCTTCCTGTGTGGCTGGGATAACAGGTACATGCCAACACACCTAGCTGTATTAAGATGAGGTCTTGCAAACATTTTGCCCAGGCTGACCTGGAATAGCAATCTCCACAATCTCTCTCTCTCTTTTTTTTTTTGGTGGTATTGAGGTTTGAACTCAGGGCTTACACCTTGAACCACTCTGCCAGACCTTTTATTGTGATAGATTTTTTCCGAAATAAGGTCTTGGGAACTATTTGTCTGTGTTGGCTTCAAACATCAATCCTCCTGATCTCTGCCTTCTGAGTAGCCAGGATTACAGGCATGAGCTACCAGAGCCCAGCTCCCCAATCTCTTGCCTCCTGAGGGGCTAGGATTATAGGCATAAGCTAAAAGCACCAGGCTTTACAAGTTTTAAGCTATGATCTCTTCCTCCCAAATGGTTATTCTACCCGTTTGTTTACCATGAATCAGTAGCTGTATAGCCTCGAGGCATTCTACTTATCTCTGTTTAAATTTCCTCACAGTGGAGACAGTGGTACTTACCTCAGGAGATTGTTGCAATAAATGAGTAAGTGGGGCTGGTGGAGTGGCTCAAGTGGTAGGACACTTACCTGCCTTACCTACCAAGTGTGAGGCTCCAAGTTCAAACCCTGGTACCTCCAAAAACAAAAAAAACCTCTTCTGTGATAATAAATGAATGAGTAAGGCACATAAAACAGTGCTGGTACAGAGTAAGAACTGTGTGAGAATTTGCTATGATAACACTAGTGATGATATTTCTTCAAAGTGATGAGGAGAAAAGAAAAAAAAAGAGAAATGCAATTATGAAAGAATAGAGCTAAGAATCCTTTAAGGGGTTTCTTGATTTCAAAACTATGGAAACAATAGTTAAAGGCAAACACAAAAACCAAGGCACCACACTCTACTATTCCTTTTCCTTTCAAACCAGGAACACAAAAGTCAAATGAACAAAGCTTATTTTGTCAATTTTCTGCTAAGAAATGAGGAAGTGGGACCATTTATATTTTTCTCTTTCTTGAGGTTTATAACATTTCCTAGCTAATTAACGTATATTAATGTAATGCTCACCAATTCGAATAAATTTTAAATATAGACATTCAGTTCTTTCAAACTGAAATAACTCTTCAGTTTGTGACATTTGGAATTAGTTCTCAGTTTGGAGGTCTCCCCATCATAGCTGAACCAGAAGAAATACAGTTTTCATGAGCTGTAAAAATGCAGGAATGATAGCACACCAACCCATTTGGAAATACTTCTCATTGAAATTTTCTTTACATGTATTATTAATAGTTCTTAGACAAACCCAGAGCTGATCATAATCTCTTCTTTTTCTTCAGCATTGCTGGAGGGACCGTTTCCTTGTCTATCCCATCCTAGAACCCACAATTAACACTGAAAGCTACAGATTTGCTAGAGACTGGATGGCTTAAGAAAGCCGAATTCAAACTATATAAAATAAATCTTAAGACTTAGGAATGTGAAGTACAGACTTTCTTAAAGCAAAGAATTTTAAATGAGTCGAAGTGAATTTATACAAAAATCAAATATATATTTTATTAAATAATATCCTCTGCTACCTTTTCATATGTTTTATTAAATATCCTATGCTACCTATAAAAATAAAAGGCTATACATTATGTTCAGAAGACAGCAAGTACCACACAGAGAAAGGATATAGGGAAGGCAATATAACTGGCTTCTTTAGACTTTTAAGCCCCTAAACCCAGATTTTACATCAGCTCTGCCTCATACTAGCATAGCAAACTTACCCTTTCTGAGCTTAACACCCTATAAAAGGAAGGCGCGAGATCTCAGAGATCCCTTCTAATTTAAAAATGGTGGCAATCTCAAAATGAAGACAAGTATAAAAGTATTAAATGTTTCATCTTAAGGAAAAGAAGCATTCGTTCACCTTATTTTTATGGGATTCAGTAATCTGGTAATAGTTTTCTTCCTTATCATCTGTTATAAATACAACTGATAGGTGGGAAATGTAATATGTTTTTAAAGAATAACTCTATCTTCATATCAGTATATTGGAAATAAGAGTAAGAAATAAATACTGTTTTTCTTAAAATTAAAGAAGGGTACCATCTATTAAAGAATATTCTGATAAAGCCAAAGTAGTTTATATTTCAAAACTCAAGTAGCTTTTCATAAGCTACCAGAATAAGCCACAGCCGATTGATAAAAGGAAAAAACTCCCATGTTACAGACAGATATATAAACATTGTATTTCATGTTAAAGCCCAACTCTTCCTTACTCAACATTCTCCAACAATATAAACATCAGTTATTTCTAGCCTAGCCAACACTAAAGGAGCTGCTATCTTAATCCAATCACCTTCAAATTTTCCTTTGGTTCTACATCAACACTTTTAGACTGTACCCTTGTCCTTAGTACAGCTCCTACTTTGATTACACACCTCCTCCTGAGACACACATTCATGAATTCTCCCACGGTTAGAAAAGTCTAAATAAAATAACCATGCAGATCCAGGTCTCGGCAATATGAGGACACAGGTTTATTCACTAAACATATGCTAAATTACTGATATAAATCTTGAATTAAAACTTCTCATGCAGCATCAGATCAACAGTCTATTTGCAACTCTCGTATGTGGCCCCCCCAAAGAGATGCCATAATAGATTAAACTGGCTCATCATAATAAACTTCACAAGAAGGGCCCACACACTTTCATTTGAGACAGCATTTTGGAAGGTAAGATATGTCTCCTGAACATCTCTGACTTCTCAGAAAGACTCTTGAGAGGATTCTATTTTTTTCTACCCTTTAAAATACCCAGGTTACTGCACCACAATTATAGGACTACTGTGTTCCAAGTGAGATAATTTATGTAAACGTGCTCTATATACAGCAATGCCCTATAAACATTTAAATTTATTTCATCGCCCTCTCGTCATAAAGGACCTCTTTCTACCTCCAAAAGTGCTATAAACATGTTATGACAAGGCTCCTTGAAAGAAGAGAATAAATTAACTTTCTTTTTGCTATTTATTTTACAATTTTATTCAATTCCATTGTGTACATTTCCTCTTTTCCTTCCTATTCTTTCATTATTTTTGTCTTTTTCTCCCAGAGTAAGAACACATTTCTCTACCATTCCAATTTTCCTTTATCCCATGCTAACTTTATTTCTCAATCAAACAAAAAAGGAATTTGAAGATCAAATAAAGAATATGCATCCTGGATGTTATTCATGCACAGCATGAACCAATGGCAAAAAAGTCACAAAATAAAACATACCTTGTTATGCCAGCAGAAGCCATGACTTACCTTCTGGCTCACTTTCTGACCCTGAAAGACTGCCATAGCTGCTCATTAGTGAACACAAGGCTGGCGTCACCTCCTTAGGGATGACAGACTGTTGTGATTTCTCCTCCTTATCAGACTCTAAAACAGAATGGGAAAGAACAAAGACTCAACATCTTCCATTATTAAAAAGAAAGCTGACTGACTTTCACTCCCTCATCTGTTAGTAAAAAGAAAGTAATTTCTCATTTCCTTAATCTTCCCAAAAATCTAACTCCAAGAGGTCTGAAAAATTTCACTTTGGTTTAAATCTTAAACAAGGAAGCTATTTGCTCAAGGGGGGACAGAGGAACAAATGGAAACTATACACAGCTCAGTTAACTTACCACGCTTCACAGGTTATGGAATTTGGGCCTTCCCTAAATTAACTTAATTACAGTCTTTGCTGTTAATTTACAGGTAGTTGGAAAGCCAAAAATTTATTTAACTTTACTGGATCAGGATCATTAACTTGGAAGAATAACCTGTAAAAATATTCACCCTTTCATTGTTTTAAGACTGGTTTTCAGGATCCAAATAATATTTATACCATTCTATGGGCTTAGTCAAAAAATTTTACTGAAATGAATCTTCTCTGAAGTTTTTATTACTTAGCGCTTCTAAGAATTTAAGTCAACAAGCCAACCATGAGAATTTAGCAAGTACTAAAAAAGCTGCCAAAGGTAAAGTGTTTGATCAGAGTCCAGCAAGTTTCACGGTAGCCGCAGGACACCACCTATTACATTTATTTTTGGCAGCTCTAAAAATATATTAACTCTATTCTAGACAACCCAGAAAAATAAAGCCTGAGTGAAGACAGTAAGTAACTTGTCTATAATGAACCAACTCAACCCACAGCCAATACGAAACCTTTCAAGACTGAGCATTTAATGTTCATCAACCAGACAGTCTGGAGGAAACCAAAGCATGCCACTAGGAAATGGAAGTATCCTTCTATGTCACTGTTGGCTCTGCACCTCCTGTGGGATGAAGACATCCTCTCTCCTCCGCACCATGTGGACCCCCTAAAACTGTTCCTTGTCACTTTTAATCTAGACTTTTTTTTAAAAAATCACTTCCCTACATTAATGAAGGGAAAGGAAAATACACAGTTTATATATGTAAATTATGAGTGGATTAATCAGAAATCTACCACAGTGTTCATCCATTGTTTGAATGATCAAAGACCAAACAATAGCATTTCCTTCCAAGACTGAAAGAAAGGTAGTGGCTGGGGACAAATGCACAGTAGCAGAGCATCTGTCTAGCATACACATGGCCCTAGGTTTAATCCTCAGAACACGTAACAAAAAGTACCAAAAATGACAGCTGAATGTTATGCTCTTTAAAAGTATGATCACATTTAATCTGTATGAGGTATCTCACAATTTTCACTTTTTAAATTCTGTTTTGTTCTTTGACATAGGTTTTCACTATGTAGCCTAGGCAAGCCTTGAACTCACTATGTAGCCCAGGCTGGCCTTGATCTCGAGATCCTCCTGCCTCAACCTCCAGAGTGCTGGGGTTACAGGCATACACTAACACTTCTGGCCCAACTCGTAAGCTAGAATGCCTCCTACAGACATTATATAAAGTCTTCTTAAAATAAAGCCACTCTATCAAAACAAATACATTTTATGTCAATAATATCTTTTCCAGCTACAGCTCCATTTCTTTTTTCCTTTTTATAGAAAAACTCCAAAAAGCTGATTTATAAAATTCACCATGGAAATTGTCTGGATCTGGAATTTCCTCTAGCTGTCTGACCCACTCCAGAATCTATTCCATCTGTCTTTCAGGCCTACCACACCAGTGAAACTTTTCTAACAGGTTCACCTGGGTCCTTGTGTTGCCAAATCTGAAGACCAGTTTTTGGTTCTGATCTTACATGACTCAGTAACACAAATGATAGTACAGAATCATGTTCTGCTTCTTAAAACAACTTCCAGAACCCCTTCTCATGCCTGTTTTCCGTCTCTCTACTAAACTCTCACCACTGACCTAATGCAAAAATTATGCTGCTTCCTCCTCTTCAATTCTGAGACCTCTTTTTCTCTATGCCTCTCCTTCCCTTGATGATCTCATGTTATCTAAAATCTTAAAATATTATTTGTATGCTGGTTAGTCACAAATTTACACTTCTAACCTTCAATTTTCCCCTTAGTTCCAGAATAATTCTAAGTGGTGACTCAACTTCTCTTTGATGTCAGATATCTCAAATGTCTAAAAGCAAACACTTGATTGTACTTGGAACATGCTTTCCAGTATTCTCCATCTCAATAAATGTCAACTCTTTCTTCTAAAGAGTTAGGCAGAAACCTGGCAGTCATCCATGACTTTTTGCTTTCTCTCCTATCTTATCTAATCAGTCAATGACTGCCATCAACTCTAGTTGAAAATATATCCAGAATCATAGTCCTATTTCCACAACAACCTCAGTCCAAAGGAACATTTCTTGTTGAGCAGTTCCAACAACTTCCTAAAAGAGATCCATGGTAGGATCTAGCCCACCTCTCTCTACGGTCTCTTCTTCATCCAAAAATGTAAATCAGATCACATTGCTTACCTGCTCCCCCTCAAGAGGAAAATCTCAAGACCTCTCTTGGCCAAAAAGGTGGGTCCCAACTTTGATCTGACCCTCCCCTTGACTGACAATAAACCCTACCACTTTCTTCCTGGCTAGCATCACTCCAACTCAATTGTTCCCTGACCATTAGTTTGTGCTTGATGGCTCACTATGCCAGGACTGGTATCCACTGACGTATAAACTTACCTCACTCAGATGTCTTCTTCATATCACCTTCAGAGATGCCTTTACTGATCACAGAGAAAAGCAAACCTCCTTTTCAGAACACCATTTTCCTGCCCAACTACCATTACTCATTACACTTACCAACACAACTTTCTTGTGTTTCTGAGAACATATGGTGAATGTTTACTCTATCAGCCCCATCAGAATAGCAGCTACAGGACAGAAAGGGTTTTGCCTTGTTCAAAGAATACATATCCAAGCCTAGAATAGTACACAAGGGCTCCACAAATGTTTGAAGAACAATTGTTGCATGAGTAAGTTCAAAAAGGTTAATCAGCACAGAATCAGAGAGCTAGTAAGAGGTAGAGATGGGATAGAAACATAGATCTGCATGTATCCAAAGAATGCTTTCTTAAATAATATGATTATTATTTAAAAAAAAATCACACCCACATACATAGGGAAAACAATGAAAGGATACACATACACACACAAAAAAATGTGACCAGTGGCCATCTTCATAAGTTAAAAAAAGTAGGTTGTTGTCTTATCTTGTGTTTTATAGTTTTCTCTCATATTTTCTCTTACTTTAATGATGAGAAAACAGAAAAGAAAAACAAAAGGAGTACCCCTGGAGACCAGTGCTCCTCATAATTCACTTCGAGAAGAATAGGACAAGGCTTTAACTGGCCTACAGTCTTTTTCATTCTTTCTTTTGCTTTTAACTTTCTATTTTGAAACAATTTTGGATTTATGAAGATAGCAGAGTGATGCCACATACCCTTCCCGCAGCAATGAGTGTACATTTGACATAGCCAGCAAATCAACACTGCCTAACATTGCCTTAGTGCCTAACCTAGACTGTAATGGAACTTCATCAGTTTTTCCACTAATGGCCTTTTTTTCTGTTTCAGGATCCAATCCATCATACTGCACTGCATTTAGGTCTTGTAAGTCCTTAGTCTTTTCTTCTTTATTATTTTCTCCTTTTCTTGGGACATTTTTCTTTTTTCCTACTTTCATTTCAAAACGGATTTATGAGATTCTGTATTTTGCTTGCTTGGCACTGTAATTCAGAGAAATTCTGGGATTTCAAAAAAATCTGTCTCTGCTTTCAGGACAGCCCTGGGCCAGCAGCCTCTAAGTGGCTTCAAAATGGGGACTGGTCACTGGAAAGACCAGCACTACATTAGGGGGTTGGGTCTTTCTGCCTCACCTCACAACTTCCAGGGAGGGAAGAGGGGTGAAGGTTAAGTTGATTGCCAGTGGCCTATGATTTAGGCAATCATGCCTATACAATGGAACCAGCATGAAAATTGATAAAGACAGACATGGGAGAACTTCCAGAGAGCTGGACATTTGGGAGCAACTAGAGGGCAGAACATGGAACTAGGGAGTTCCATGTCCTCTCTAACACTACACACCACCTTCTCACCCAGTTTCTTTCTACAATTTATTTCTTTACATAGCACCAACCCAACTACTTGATACTGCCTTTAGGAGCAATACAATTATACTCTCTGGCATCTTAATTTTTAAGTCTGCTAAAGAAAATGTTAAGGGTTGGGAATGTGGCTCAATGGTAGAGTATTTGCCTAGCACGCACAAGGCCCTAGGTTCAATCACCAGCATGGCTAAAAACGAGAAAATGCTATATATTGAAAAGCCATCCCCCCAAATGGTAACTTTGCTTCACAGTCTTTAACTCTCAAGGGAGACATTTAGGACTGGGGCATGGCTCAGTGGTAGAGCACCTGCCTCGCATGCTGGAGGACCTGAGTTCAATTCCCAGCACCATAAAGCAATCAAGGAAGACATTTTACAATGTGTATTCATGGTTGCTGATGCACTAGGTCAGGTTATTTTCCGATTTTAACATGTACCTTTTAAACAAAAGAGCCAACTTAGCATGGACTAATGTCCAATGCTCGACAGTGATATCTGTATTTATAACAAATGACTAACAAGTTGGATTGTCTTTGTTTTGTGCACGGTAAGGCAGTCCACTCTCAGAAATTTGAGGCTATTTTACTGATCAGTTGCTTTCTTTCTAGTTCAGAAAACAGGCTTATTGTTTAAAGGAAATTCACAGAACTTCTTTATATATATTTGGACTTTTTTTTGTTGTTTCAAGACAGGATTTCACTATGTATCGAAGGCTGGCCTCAAACTCACAATGCTCCTGCCTCAGCCTCTGGAGGCTTTGACTTACAGGTGTGCACCACCCAGCCCAGTCTTGTTAGGTAGATTTAAACAACAAAATAAACTAAGTCCTAACTAATGAATACCAAAAAGCGATTAAAACAACAAAGCCTTGAATGGGCTAGTAAAAAGAAAACATAAGGAAATAAAAAAGATAGCACCAGTAAAGAAGTGTAGTGACAAGAAACCATACTCAAAGGTGATAACTGGGAGACTCCTAATGAAGAGTGTTCCCTTCAAAATAGTGTCATCTCCCAATTACTGCACAGTTACATAGGAATGCACAAACCACCAGCCACAATAGAGAAGCTGAGTCCCGACAATGATAGTTCAAACATGATCTGAGCCCACTGCTGCCCTGTGTAAAATGTGAGTGCTGATGTCTGGATTGGGTTCTCAGTATGGAATGGGAGAACTTTACTCTTAGAGAGAGCTCCATGCTGAAAAGTGTCAACTGCAATGTAAGAGCCCTGGGCCATATTATCTCAGTGCTGACACAGCACTGACACCTTCAAAGACTGGACCTTAAAGAGGGCTGGCTCTGGTCCAAGGTAAGGCAAACTGCTTCCACCCAAGTAGAAGACATATATTAGAGTGGAAATGGTGAGGGTATCTAGGTCCTGTGAAAAAAATGGTATATGGCTTTCTGTAGCTACACCTAGAATGAAAGGTGAAGAACCTGTGGTCAAACACTGATTTGAAAATGTCAAAGTCCAGAGGAAACCAAGGTAAAGGATGACATGAATTTAAATGACACCCTTTTTGTGGAGGAGGGGAAGCAGTACTGGGGTTTGAACTCAGGGCCTTGCACTTATTAGACTAGTGCTCTACTATTTGAGCCATGCTTCCAGTCTTTTTTGCTTTACTTATTTTTAGAATAGTAAATTTTTGCCTGAGCTGGCCTGAACCATGAACCTACTATTTATATCTCCCTCACAACTGGGATTTCAGGCATGTACCTCAGTGCCCAGCTTATTGGTTGAGATGGGGTTTAGTTAACTTTTTGCCAGGGTTGTCCTTAAACTACAATCTTCCTGATCTCTACCTCCAGAGTAGCTTTGATTAAGGCATGAGCCACTGTGCCCAGTTAAATGACATCTTTCCTATAAAATTAAGCTACCATAATTTGATTCTTAGCAGCTTGACTTCCTTAGAAATTATAACATATTTTAATTTACAAAATTTATGAAATTATATACATGTAGCCTACATGGATGATTTTTACATTCAAGATTTATGTCCTTACCCCTAACCTTCTCTAACCTTCAAAACAGGTGTGTTCCATTCTTGGCACCAGCTTCAACACTTAAACCAAAACATAATTTACATAATTTGAGAGTTCTCGTTCAGCTGCTCCTGAGAATGCAATGGAATGCTTTCCATCCCAATGAGGATGAGAGGAGCTACCCATAATCCCTGCTTCTCATGTTTAAAGTGTCTTTTGAGGACTCGGGTACAGGCTTATATGAATGTGAGATTCAATCATCTTTTAGTTGGTGCTTTATCAGACTGGCATATACTGAAACAATTCTTTAAAAAAAAAAAAAATGAAACGGGCTCGGGGAAAGCTCAGTAGAACAGTGCTTGCCTAGCATTCAAGAAGCCCTGGGCGCTAACCCCAGCACTGCTAAAAGCAAACAAACAAAAATAGAATCAAACACCTACCAAAACTAAGTTAACAAAACAAAAGCAACAAATACTATTCAATATGAAAGTCCTTCAAATGCTCACTTCAAAAACCACAAATAAGAATAAGAATGTTGGTGCAAGCTTGTAATCCCAGCTATACAGCAGGTAGAGATAGGAGAATTGAGGTTGAAGGCCAGCCCAGGCAAAAAAATTAGTGAGGCCCTATCTCAAAAATCAAGCTGGGTATGGGGTAAACTCCTGTAATCCTAGTTACTCAGGAGGCAGAGGAGGAGGACTGCCATATGAGGCCAGCACTGGGCAAAAGTATACTACTACCTTATCTGAAAAATAAGCTAAAGCAAAAAGACTGGCGGCATGTATACACAGAAATATATACAGAGCATGTATCCAAAAGAGGAACTGGTAGAGGAGACCAAGGGAGGTGGAAGAGAAGGAAAGAAAGATAGTGAGTAACAACAGAGTACATCACATCAGTGCAGGAACAGGGCACGAAGAAACATGATGGAAACTGTTAAACAGCACAAGATGGGGAAAAAGGGTGAAGAAATGTAATGGAGGGAGGTTACACTGACTTAAGCATGTACAGGTACAATCAAACCAAGGCAAAAATCCCACCAACCAATGAACAGACACCTAAACAACAAAGGACAAAAATGAAAGCCAGGAAGTGCTAAGAAGAGGGCACCAACAGGAACAGGGGGAGAGGGAGAAAGAAGTATAGAATGAGACTACGGGTCATATATTTCCTGTACAAGAATGAATATAGAATTTTTAAGCCTGTTGAAATCACCATAAGAAGGGGACTAAGGTAGAAAGGAGAAAAATGGAGGGGATGAACCAATTTGGACTACAATATATATACACCTGGAAATGTCATATGAAACTCTCTGTATAGCTATCTAAAACAAAAATGTCTTTATTTTTAAAATGGAGGACAGGAAGGTGAAACAGGTCCTGTCTGGGGTTGGTATCACTGGAAGGGGGGAGGATATAAGGAAAGGGTGTAGGAGGTTGAATATGGTAGAAATACTATGTACTCATGTATGAAAATGGAAAAATGAGACCTGTTGGAACTATTCCAGGAATGGGGGAAAGAGGGATAAAGGAGAATGATGGAGGGGGTGAATTCAACTAAGATATATTGTAAGCACTGTTGTAAATATCACAGTGTACCACCCCCAGTATAACAATAGTATGATTAAAAAAAAAAAAAAGAAAGAAAAAGACTGGGAGCATAGCTCAAGTGTAGAGTGCTTGCCTAGCAACCACAAGGCCTGAAGTTCAAATCCCAGTACCACTAAAAAAAAAAAAATTACACCAAGTAAATAATTACATAATTTTCAAATTAGTACCATTATGATTATAACACTAGTCTACACATTTGTGTTTTAAGTATTTCAACACCAAGGAAGTTTATATTTGGGGTATAGATGACATTTGGTCATCAAGGCCACATATTGCAAATCTGAAGAAGTGTGTGGGCTTTTTTTTTTTTTTTCCCAGCTCTGGGGTTTGAACTCAGGGCCTCACACTTGCTAGGCAGGTGCTCTAACCACTTGAGCCACTCTGCCAGCCTCTCTCTTACATTTTTTTTGAAGGGAAAAAAAATTAAACTCAGCAATGGGTGAAAATATCATCTGCCTCCTACTTGCTCTCTGTAAGGATAAGAAAGTGTCTTTTCTAAACTCTCTCCCAACATCTCAAGTATGCCAGACTCTCACAATATTTTTGAGACTAATCAGTTCACAACCTGGCTCTGCCACCAGATAGCACTATGGCTAAGGTAAATTACTTAGGTCTCTATTCCTCATTTCTAAAGGGATAGCTGTAGCTGCACCTATAGAAAAGGCTGTTATAAGGAAAAGAGCTAACATACAGAAAGCACCTGGAGTATAGTAAGTGCATTTACAGTGTTAGTTGATGTTAAGGTAATTTATTACATTACTACTCCTACTAAACTTTATCTTATACTTAGCTCAATATTTTCTTGTGCCAAGACCCTTTTCCATCCGAAATTATCCATGAATTAGTTATCACCCATTTCTTGCTATCTGAAAGTTCAGTAACTTCCCATATGATTATCATGGAGGCAACTGCCATCTAAGCAGAACAGAGTCTAGAATCAAACCTACACCATAACATCAGTCCATTCACTAATAGCCTTTTTCTTCTGCAGCAGACAGCATATACAATGAGATAAGCTTTACAATGTTACTGGAGGGGAAGGCACTACAAATATTTTACACACACATTTTCATTTTTTTTGAAGGGGAAATGGAGTTTCAGACACTGAATGCATATGTATGTGATAGCAATATTTTGGTGCTCTCATTTTTTGACATGTAGGCAAACTCACGTTGTCCTGTAAGTTCTAGATGGAATTAAAGGATAAACTATAAATGTATATAAAGGGGCATGGCTCAAGTAGTAGAGTACCTTCCTACCAAACACAAGGCCCTGAGTTCATACCTCAGTACCATCCCCTGCTAAAAAGGTGGAGTAAACATATATATTTTTTGTTCTGAGGAAGATTATATAAAAATACAATAAATTAATACCATATGTCCAAAGAGATTATGCTTGTGCTAGGTACATAAATAATACCAGCTTGTATAGAATTACTGCTTTGGAGGTAAAGGGAAAAAAATTCAAACCAAATCAATTTATACCTATGGCAATTCAAAACTCTCTTAAAAAAACTCCCAATATTATACCATGCTTTGGAAATTATTCAACAAATACAATCTTCCTCCCATAGCATCCTACGCATTCTCTATGCACCACCCTCAAGACTCAAAAAAGATCTTCTTAGATGAGGCTTTTCACAAGATACGCTTCTTAAAAACAAAAATGCAAGCATCATTCTACATATATTCATTTGCCATTAAACTTTCCACAAACAAGGTTATGGGTAATCAACTTCAGCCTCACTGTCTATGCACTTTTCTACAGGTTATCTTCCTGTTTTGCTTACCAGAGTCACTGTTTATCAAGGCGCCAAGAGGATCTGCATTTGCCTCAGGTGGACCTTTAGGCTTTGAATCACAGAAGTGACTGACTGATGAGATGACAGTGCTCTGTCTAGCATTGTTTTTCCATTTGTGGTGTTTACCAGGACTTCTGATTTTTGCCATCTGTGAGTGTCTGGACATCCCCTTCATCTTGCTGGAGTAAGAAAAAATGCAATTCTTAGTATAAAAGACACTGGCTTTTTCACAAAAAATTTGAAAAAGACTACTAAGTGCAAAAGAAACCTAGAAGTTAAATTGATCAACTATAGTCTAGCACATTAGAGACCAAAATAAAAGAAATTCAGTGGTTCCCAAAGCCAGAGAAGTCTACAGTAGAACTTTAAAAGGACAACATCTCATAATATACCACGTTATTCATTCTCAGCTGTACATTCTCACCTCCCTGAAAATGGGGTGTGCTGTGCAATGTATACACACAATTTTGAAGAAAGCAAAAATTATTATGGCCCAATCTGTAATACCCATCCACAGATGCCAACCTAAGAACTCAACAGCATCCTGCTTTGAGGCAAAGTAGGTACATTTTCTGCCTCTGACCCACTGGTCCCATGAGAATAATGAAGAGATGCCACTTCCTTTGGGCTCCCACTCACAGACACCTTTCCTACATACTGCTCCTAACAGCATCTGATCACAGCTAGCTTTAGAATTCTCATAGTTAAGGTATTAACTGACAAAGAATAAGTTAGAATGAACCTAACTGATGTGATTATTAAGACTTCACTGAGAAAGTACAGTAAGGCAGGCAACACACTTTAAATATAGGCACAAAACATTTAAAAGGACCAGCTTATTGAAAACACTGTACTTTTCCCTCTGAATTATATTGCCACATTTATCATAAATCAGGTGACTGCTCACTGGTGGATCTGTTTGTGGACTTTATTCTACTTATCTAGTTATTCCTGGCCATTATCACACTATCTTCATTACGCTTTCTTAGATGTTCTACATCCTTTGCCCCCCAAAAAAAGTCACTTAGACTGAGGGCTTGGGTCAAGAGGTGGAGTGCCTGAACAGCAAGTGCAGTCTTGAGTTCAAATCCCAGTACCACCGAAACACAGGAACAGTAAAAATAATAAAAACAGATTTTTTGCATTTCATATATTTTTAAAGCTTAGCAGTCTCCCATCCCTGTTCTGTCCCCTCCCAAAATAAAAAAACCTTGCTATGATTTCGACTATGTTCAATTTGCAGCAGAATGAATGTGATTGCGTTGCCATACTGTTCACAGACGTGTCACACCCCTTCATTTACTTACATCTCTAATTTTTTAAGCAATATTTTATAAACTTCATTAAATGTCTCGCAAATATTTTAAGATTTATTACAAGGTATTTGTGATGCTATTATAAATGGTAATTTTTAAAATTTCACTCTTTTTTGATAGCTTATAGAAATATAATTGACTTAAAAATTATCGATGTTATTATAGGCTAAATTTGATTAGGAGTATGGTAATAATATTGTTCCCAGTCTCGGGGTAAAGTAATCAGTATTTCACCAGTAAGTATGATTTGACTACAGAGTGTTGGTATATATCTCATATTAAACAAAGTTTTTTTCTATTACTCATTTCCTGACTTTAAGAGTTTTTAAACTTTATCGATTACTTTCCTTATGCATAGAGTTAACATCATTTTACTGCTTCACTATTTTACTGTGATAAATAACATTTTATTTTCAAACAGCAAACTCCTGAAATAAACCTCATTTGGTTTTAATGTATGTCTTTTTTCCATATTGCCAGATTTGATTGGCTAACATTTTGTTTAGAATTTTTGTCTCTTTGATCAGAAGATATTTGCTGCCTATAATCTCAGCACTGGGGAGGCTGAGGCAAGAGAAGCAAAAATTTAAGGCCAGCACAGGGTACACAGCGAGACTATCTCAAAAAAACAAAAGAAACACACACACACACACACACACACACACACAGACACACTGTTTGTTATTTTCTATTATTGTAATGTCCTCATGAGGTTTTGATAACAAGATAATATATATTAGACTCTTAAAACAACATGTTGAGTTTTTCTAAGATGGGTATTTGCTTTGTAAATGTTTGGAAGAATTTGATAGCAAAGCTATCAAGACCTAAAATTTTTTTTGTAGGAAGGTTCTTAATTAGTTTTCGTAACAAAGAAATTCTGATCTTTAATTTCTTAAATGTCTTAGTAATTTCTGTTTTAAGTATACTGCTTAATTTCTAAGCATTTAAGGTATATTCTAGCTGTCTTCTTATAACTGTTTACTGGTTGAATTTCACTTTGGTCAGAATGAAATTGTTTTACATTATTTCAAACCTTTACGATTTATGGATAATTATGGGCTGGAGGTGTGGCTCAAGTGGTAGAGGACTTGCCTAGCAAGTGTGAAGTCCTAAGTTCAAACCCCAATACTACCAACATATATATATATATGTATCATTCTTTTGTGATCTTTTTGATAAAATGTGTACTTTTTAGTTGTTGAGTGTGCAGTAATATTCTAGATTAAGTTGGTTGTGTTCAAATCTTCTCTAATACTGCAGACTATCTCTTAATAACTACAGAGAGAACTGTAAAAGCTTCAACTTTGTTCATTTATCTCCTTTGAGGCAGTCAGATATTTTATCTTTTATAATTATATTGTTAGATAGATAGATTTAAGATTATTACATCTTCTTGTTGCATTCATCCTTTTAACATTATGAAATATCTCTATTAATCTCTAATATGTTTTGCTTTAACATTTATTTAGTCTGATACTGCTATCTCAGGTTAATTTTGGTAACTCGTGGCATGGTGTATAACATTTAGTACTTGATGAACTGCAATTCATAATTTAAGGACCTCAATTTCTACGCTATATACAATAATTAATTCTAAACATAAATGGAAAAGGTAAAGCACAAATCTAAAGAAAATACAGTGAAGTAGCTTCAAGACCTTTGGATAGGCAAAGGTTTCATAAGCAAAATACAAACAGCACTGACCATAAAAGACTGATAAATCAGACTTCATGAAAATTAAGAACTTTTATTTAGAAAAAGACTGAATTTAGAACTTCTACTTTGGCCAAATTAACAGGAACCTTATTTATCCTTCCATATGAAACCACCCCAAAACTAGGCAAAATGCAGAAACAGTTCCTACAACAAAGGATATCAAGCAACAAGAACAATGATGGCTTAGAGAAGGGAAATAAATGAACAGTGGGGCTCTACAATTGCTCTGGCTTACTACCTTGAGTATTTCCAGACCACAGAAGAGGCAACCCACATGGAACCTGGTAAAGTCCCTTAGTTGAGGAACTTGAGCTCTGAGTCAACAGAAAATAAGACGTGTAGAGTTTGCAGAAGGTACCAGAAGAAGCTAGAGAGAGACTCCAACTATTTAGAAAAAGTCTGATCAGAAAATACATGCAAGGGAACTACTCAAGGTTAAGGAAAGAACCACCCAAAGGATTAGAGGTAATAGCATCAAATTAATCTTCACATAGGGTCATAAATAGTATCTGTTTTTATTTCATAATTCAAGTGGCATTGGGTAGAATACTCAAAAATGTCTTGCCTCAGCAAGAAGTAGTTAGCTCCAGATTAAACTCTGCTCTGGCTATTCATGATATCCAACAAGGATCAGACTGTTTCTAAGTAACTTAGCTGTATATCAAAAAAACCAAAACAACTCAAAACAAGAATCTTCAAGAACATTTAAAGGAATACAAAAATATCCAGTATCCAACAAAGTAAAAATTTCCAGTATCTAATAAAACATAACCATGCATGAAAAAAAGCAGGAAAACATGACCAATGAGAAAAATTAAAATCAGTTAATATAATTGCATTCACATGTTTAAAAAGTTAAGTAGAGACATGGAAGACATTAATAAAACATTAAAATCAAACTTCTAGGAAAGTAAACATCTGAGATTAAAAATGTAAAATATGCATTGAGACATAATATACTCATACAAGATTAGTAAAGGCTGTACAGGAGATATTAATGAACATGAAAGCGTAACAAAAGAAACTACAATGAGATGCCAAAAAAAGCAAAGAAATCTACAAAGTGGAAAAAGCATCAATAAATAATGGAATAATTTTAAGAAGCCTACCACGCAATTGCAATTTCTGAAAAAGAGGGAGGTAGAGAAAAAATATTTGAAGAAGTAATGGCCAAAGTTTTCCAAATTGATAAGAGCTATCATAAGCCAAGAAGCTCAATAAACCCCACGTACAAGACACATGCAGAACACTATCCAAGCACATGATAACCCAAGTGCTCAAAACCAGGGACAGAGAAAATCTAAATGGGGGCTGGCACGTAGCTCAACGGTAGAGCACTTGTCTAACATACACAGCTCCTAGATTTGATCCCCAGTACTGGAAAAAAACAAAAACAAAACAAGAACAGAGAAAGAGGTATTTCAGCCAGGGACCAGTGGCTCACGCCTGCAATCCTAGCTGCCCAGGAGGATCCTGGTTTGAAGCCAGCCCAGACAAATAGTTCAAGAGACCCTATCTCGAAAAAAAAGCCATCACAAAAACAGGGCTGGTGGAGTGGCCCAAGGTGAAGGCCCTGAGTTCAAACCCCAGAACTGCAAAAAAGAGAAAAGAAAAGAGGTATTTATATAGACAATGATATAACATCTTTATAGCACTGTTAAAATATAAAGACATTTCAGACACACGAAGCTGAAAGATGCCATCTCCAACAAACCCTCTCTACAAGAAGCACTAAAGTACTACAGACAGAAGGAAAACAGCATTAGATGGATCTGCACAAAAGAATAAAGAGCACCAAAACTGTACCTGCCTAGGCAGGATAGCCATCAGCCAACCAGCCCCCAGCTGTGACTGAGCCTTGTCAAGATCAGATGTTCTTTACTCAGCTGACCCCAAATGCCTGAGCAATTACTTATTGTTGTATGAAAATAAAGGCCACCCATTAAAGTAAACAGGCAAGCTAGAGATTGAGAGATGTAACTGTAATACATACAATCCACTAAAAAAAAAATGCATATGGAGATAAATAACGCCTACCAATCAAGAAAAGCAACTCCAATTAAAAACTGATCAAAAGCCGGGTGCTTCTGATTATAGGCTCACACTTATAACCCTAGCTACTTGGAGACAGAGATCAGGAGAATTGTGGTTTGAAGCCAGCCCCAGGCAAAAAGTTCATGAGACCTTATCTCAAAAACACCCATCACAGAAGAGGGTTGAGAAGTGGCTCAAGTGGTAGAGCACCTGCCTAGCAGGTGTGAAGCCCTGAGTTCAAACCCCAATACCACCCAAAAAAAAGACTTGAACTGGTACTTCACAAGAGAATACCCACACGATAAGATAAATTGGTTCAACCACTTTTGGCAAACTGGCCACAAGTATTAAAGCTAAACATATGGATACCATGTAACCTACCCTATGTGTATAATCAATGATAATCAGTATTAATGTCCACAAGACATGTAAAAGAACTTCATAACAATTTTATTCATAATAAGCCAGACTAGAAAGAACCCAAATGTCTATCAACAGAGAAATATTCTCACAACTGAGTTCCATATAGCAGTAAGGATGAAACATGTCACAATTACACATATACCACAGATAAATTTCACAATTTTTTTTTTCAGTACTGGAGTTTGAACTCAGGACCTTGCCCTTGCCAGGCAGGCACACTATCACTTAAGCCATGCTGCTAGTCCTCACAAAATAATTCTGAGCCACAGAAATCAACAACCAAGAATACATACTATATTATTTCACTTACGTAATTCTAAGAACAGGCGCAATAAATCTATGAAGACAGAAGTCAGAAAAGGGATTGCCTTTATGGGAAGGCACTGAACAGCAGAGTGCATAAGAGAGCATTATGAGGTTAAGGCATTCTGTATATTAAACTGTGTGGAGGTCACATGGATGTGTAGGTGTGTGTATGTGTGTGCATGTTACATGTTTGTAAACTTCATTAGATTGTACGTTAAAGATTTGTATCTCTTAATTATATTCCAAGGTCAATAAAAAGTAAAGAAAATGGAAAAATTCTAAAAAGTTTAGTGAAAGTGAAAGTAGGGAAAACGTCTCATCTACTGCTGCTGAGAGCAAACTCATGCAGTTTCTATGACAGACATTTGGCAGCATTTGTCAGCATTACAAATACACATTTCTTTTGACTCAGCAAATCCATTTGTAGGAATACATCCCCAGAAATACTTCTGTAAAATATACTATGCACAAGAGCCATAACAATAACTTTTTATTAGTAAGTGGCAAAGAACTTAAATATCTGTCAACAGGAAATTGGTTAAAACAGAAACCAAAAATACTGTTGGACATCCCTGTGTTTCTTAAACATCCTTAGAGGTTTATTATATATTACAAAATGAGGCATCTCCAAATAAAATGTTAAATGTCTAAAAAAAGCAAGGTACAATCATAAACAAACAAAAAGGTATTTTTAAAAAAATGAAGGACAGGAAGGTAAGAAGGTAAAACAAGTCTGCCCGGGGGTTGGTACCAGTGGGAGGAGGGCGGGCATAAGGAGAGGGGTAGGAGGGTGAACATGATGGAAGTACTATATATTCATGTATGAAAATGGAACAATGAGACCTGGTGAAACTGTTCTTGGGAGGGGCTGGGGATAAAGGAGAAAGATGGAGTGGGTGAATTGAATCTAACTAAGATATATTGTAAGTACTTTTGTAAATGTCACAACAATGTTCCCTCAGTACAATTATAATATGCTAATAAAACAAACAATAACAACAACAAAAAAAAGGTGCAAAAGAATATCAACAAAAGAAGGGAAAAAAACAAGTATATCTATCCTCTATATGCTGTGCAGAGGATGCTTGTGTCTGGAAGACTGGTTGGGAGACAAAGACCGAAAGGACTTGTTCACTACATTTTTTTTTTTTTTTAATCGTATGACTACAGGGTAATATTTAAGATATAAATGAATTTTTTAAAAGTAAAACAATTACAAAAACAAAGGCTTCAGAAGTGAAGATGTAGAGATTTTAAGATTTTGGGTTTTGCTCCTTTTTATTACTTGTAAGTATACTTGGTGAAAATGAGCATTGAAAATGAAAGCAATTTAAGGAACTTACCCATACTGTGTTGTTGTCAGTACTTCTCCCCTCTTTTCCTTCTCAAGTTTTAACTTTTTTTTCCTTTCAATATTGGCCAGAGTTGGATAATTTCTAGAAAACAATAAAAAATTAATTACAAAAGGGCTTTTAGGAAAAAAAAACAACTTTAAAAGGCTTTTAGAGTACAATTTCAAGCAATGTAGCAACTGCTAAATTTAGCAAATTTTGTTTAATAACATTAAATCATTTAAATTGCTTCTAGTGTTTAAGAAGGAGAAAACGTAGACTATGACAAGGCTACTTAAATTGTAGACCAGTTACTGATCCACAAATTTTGCTATCAGTTTGCAACTAAATAAGGAGCTTATGCTAGAATTTAAATCAAATATATCACATAATGTGCTCAAACCGGTCTAATTTGTCTATCTGGCATATGCTCACAAATATTTTAAGAAATAATTTGTTCAACTTCTTTTGCAAAAATATGCTAGATGCACTCAAAGTTCCCAAAATGAGAGATGGTTATTTTAATATAGTGTAATAAAAAGGACAGAAAAACCACAAAAAGAGCTGTAACTAGGACAAAATACAATAAACAGGCAAAAGAGTACAAAGATTTGTGGGGTGGAAGAGAAAGATTATACCCAAATGGGAAAAATCCACAAAGAAAGGGGCTTGAGAGAAATGGTCTTAAATGGTGTTAACAAGCAGCAGAGGAGAAAGCTTCAGTGTTCTAAACAGATGTAAAAAGAAGAGCGCAAAACATGAGAGATATTCAGGAAATAATTTTGTATGAAACATAATATAGTTATAGGCTGGAAAGAGAGATTCACTCCAAAATGTGCCTTGGGTAATATACTAAAGTTTGTATTTAACTCAGCAGGTTATGGGAAGCTGCAAAGTTATGAAGGGGAAGAGATATGTACAAGCTTGTGATTAAGATTACATCTGACAGCAATGTGCAAGATGAATTGCTTTCTTTGTTTCCTGGCACAGCTGTATGGAGATGCAGGCCCTAAACTCTGATGATGAGGGTGATAGATCGTATAGTATAAAAAAAAGAAAGGAGGGGAACACAGTTCTCACGATTCAAACTGGCCACTCATCAGAGAAAATTTGAGAAACATCAACAAATTGTATTCTACCATTGTTTCCAGGACACTTCTCCACTTTCTTCTTAAAAAAAAAAATCTACATTATCAACTTAAAATAGCACAGAATATGAATGAAGCCTATGGGTTACCCAAACTGGAAGATAAGAACGGTAATGATACAGGATAAGTGATGAACTAATCAGGAAAAAGGCAATGAATTTCAATAAGGACAGTGCAAAGCAATATGCTCAGCCAAGAAAAATAACCTCTATAAACAAAAGATGACGAAGGTATAAGCTATATATAAACATGAGAGGAAAACATCAAGGTCATACGAGATAAAAATCTGACAGCCAGTCAGCAACATATGACTCTATTTTTAAAAAGCAAACACAATCTAAGGTCATATGAATTGGACTCTAGCACTTGTATGAGTGTAAAATCTTCTGATATTAAAAAAAGACCAGATATTCTCAGGGCACTGTATCAGTTTTGTTGAAAAGGAATGCTGAGGAAAAATAAAACTTGGAAGGAATTCAGAAGAGACTCAAAGATAATTAAGAGTGAAAATAAAACCTCTGAATAAAGATGAAAGGAACTATTTACAGCCTCTAAAAGTGGATGAGAAGTGACAATAAAATAGTCCTACAGAAAGGATGGAGCTGTTCTCAAGCTGAAGACAGAATATGCAGAAGCAAACAATGAGAAAAGCAGTGATGATTTTATTTTCACAGGCCCCACAGTGGCCAGGCATGGAACTCACGGCTACTCAACACCCTTCACAACTCTCAAGTTCACTTGTTTTTCCTACTGTGTTTCTTCACTATTTGTGGTCTGACTATTACAGACCTTTAACACAGTGGGCCATGTGTTTAAAAATATGATTTAGTATTTGACAATATAGTCTGACTACAGTGTACCATGTACAAGTAGGGAGATGCGAAATATGTGCTTTTCAATGGTAAAGAATTTACATATTTGCGATAGCAAGTGGATTATAGGCTAGATACAAGAAAATTCCCTAAATAAGACATCGAAGATGTTGTGGAAATGGCTGTGGTGGAAGCCTTTTAAAAGAGCTAACCTTCTCTTCCTGCAGATTAAATTACCATGTTCCTGAAAATAAGCAATCTTTTAATAGCCCTTCCAAAGGGCTATCTGTCAGCACCAAAACTAATCAAATCCACGGCCAAATTTATACCATCTTATTCACACATTACCCAGAGGCTAAAAACTAGAGAAAAGAAAGGTACTAGAAACTGTCCCCCACAAAACGGGAAGCAGAAATACCACACCTACTTGCACACACAAACAACAATCAAGAAGCCCCAAAGAACCAACATAAAACTAAGATATAGGAAAAAGGAAGGTCAAGAGCTTTGGTAAAGTATACAGTTCAGGTTACTAAACTATATTTGAAATAATAAATTATGTCTTAGATTGCACAATTATGTACAGATGTGACAGTCAGTATCTCTATCAGAGAACAGATGTTAAGAAGTTACAAAGACTGTGTCAAAGAACATTTTCACAGTTGGTTTTTCTGAATTCTTATCTGCTAAAACCACTTTTCTTCCCTCTATATTCTAAGAGAAACTGGCCTGACACCAAATGCTGTTTCTTTTTTCTCCTCTTCCCCCCCTTTCACTTCTCCCTTAACTATACCTTAAGTCTCCAGTGATGACCCTTAAGAGCTACAGAGCCCACAAAGGGCAAAACTGCCAGCCACTATCTCAGCACACACCACTCTAGGCACACTTACTCTCTTCGACTTTCATCTATTCTCTTAATTACTTACTACCCGTTTACTCACTCTTCTACGCTTATTTTCTATAAAACACAATTCCTCTCACTGAAACACAACCGCTTCAGCACAAACTATGCTACTATTTTTGTTTCAAAGTCTTTCTGAACTTCAAAAAGATGTAGAATTATTAAAGAGAGGACTGCCTCTGCTAGAATTTGGAATACATTGTGGACACAAAGATTTCCTGAGCCATAGTGACAGCTGAAACAAGTATTACAAAACTACTCCACTTAGTGGACTCCCAATCTGCTGTAAGGCATGCTCCTCTTCCTAAAAGCAAGGTTTTGGAAACAACTTGACCACTCATTTTCTGTAATACCAAGTCTACAGCATCTGTACCTTACAGGTCAGGAATTAACAAAGACTCATCTTTTGGGACGCATGCTCTGTTTTGTTTTTGGCAAGTTGTTAGTGGAAAGCTTTACAATTTGAAATAGGGTCTTGTTAACTTTTGCCCAGGCTGGTGATTCTCCTGACTTTGACTCCTGAGTTAACTCCTGTCTGGTTTTGTGACCTTGGCCATAAATAGCAAAATGTTTCCCTGAACATTTACCTCTGATTTTCAAGCTAAAGTTTTGTTAAGAAGTTTCTCAAAGAGATCATAATTTCTTTATTCAAAGGCTGCTGAAATTTCTTGATAACATTAAAAATCAAACTAGTTTTCTACCACAGAATTTCATATAAACACATGCTCCCTAAGCTAGTCTTCATCTGCAAGTAATAATATTCTCAAGTTTCCCTAGCCAGTAGAAATTTCTTCTAATCACTGTTGCACAAAACCACAAGGGGGCACAGTTCACATTCACATAGGGAAAAATTACTTTAGAAGCAATGCTTTCAAACAGATCAATTTGGTTTGTCTCAGGGGTCTGTCCAGTGTGATGAGAATGTGATGTTCAAAACCACAGCAGTTTAAGTATTATTAGTTATGTTACTGATTTCCAATCATAATCATTAATCAGATCAACATATTTCTGCCAACTTCTCTAAAAACAAGTTACTATTCAAAACATGGTTTACAAATACAAGAGTCTGCAAGATTCCTCCAAAATAGAATTACAGCCATAATAAAAATAATCTTGAATGCCATTTACATATATTAACATTTACAAGCATCCCTTATATCTATGGTATCGCTGGATAAAAACAACAATGTAAAAGATGTCCTTACCTGTCTAATGCTTACAATTTATTCAATATTTTTTTAAAAAAAGCAAAATAGCTCACCAGTGAGAAAAGGGACATTTATACTAAAGAGGCAGAGAAGGGATACCATATTCAAAGACATGCAATACACTCTTCTAGGGGTATGAGAAAAAACATCCCCAAAGGTGGCAGGATTTCTATTGGGCTAAGAGTAATGAGCAGAACTTCAAAGATGAAAAAGATTACGATTTTCTAACAGCTGAAGCAAAACTGGGAAGTCAAAAGGTCTAAAGGCCTACGTGAGATATGATAAATAAGTCTGGCAGAGAACAAACACTTCTTAAAGTAAAAAATATGGAAATAATCACTTTCATGAATGACCATGAAAGTAAGTGGCTAAAACTGCATAGAGGTGAAGGACACCGAAAATCTAAAGGTAAAAAGATGTTGAATGAATTCAAATACATACATTTCTGTTGCAGCATCTAATGTGCCATGGATCAGTGGCAAAAGCAACCCCTCTTTGTTAAGAATCACTAGGGCTGGCTGTTAGAATTGAAGACAGCAGTACAGACAGATGGCAGGAAAGTCAAGAAGAAAGGCGAAGTAGTAGTCATCTGGAATACCCATCAAGGAGGCACTACATATTTCACAAAACCAGTCACTTTTGTTCTTGTTTCATTTGACCTTTCAGTAGCAATCTGCACTACTAATTGTTATCTTCCTTCTTGAAATTCTCCTTTTTCAGTGACTTCCATGACGTGTCATAATCCTCTTTCTTCTGCCTCTCTGGCTCCCACTCAGCTGTCTTGTTGATTTTTACTATTAGGCCTTTCATTGTTGGAAAGGCTCAAAATTCATGCTCTGCTACCTTCTCTTTTCAATATACTCTCTCTCTGTGAGAATCTCTTCTACATTCACTGTTTCATAATTCAATAAAAAATGTATCTCTAACCAGTGTGACCAGAGACCCAAAACCTACTCAATATCTTCAAGTATACTTACTACATGTCTCAGGACCTCTTCATACTCAACTGTCCAAAATCAGCACCTCCAAACCCTATCTCAGTAATAAGCACCACCTTTTGCTGAGATGCTTAGACCAGAAACTTGGAAGTCTCCTCAAAACCTCTTTCTTTCTCAACCTCATAACCACTCAGTCACCAAATACTGCCCATTTTCATCTCCTAAATGTTCTATATCCACCAGTTGTCTTCATCCCCACAAGTGGCACCTTCTTAAATCTCTTACCTATAATAGTAATTCCTTGAACATGCCAATTTCTGTCTGCCCACTACTGGCTCCCCTTATTTCCACCTCCCTTTGTCATGGAAAACCCTAACCTTCCAGACCAGTTGAGGTCCTCTTCCTCTTACAAGCTGAGAGGAAGAGTAGAGGACTATGGGAGAATACAACAGCTACATAGCAGAATAGTCATGGGAGTTGGCTACCATTAATTTAACAGTAGTCCTATGTTTCACCATTTAAATGATGAGTTAATTAATACGATCACTAGGGATAAAAGAACCAAAGTTGGGAGATCAAAAAGTCACTTCAAACCTTTCTTATTGTTTCAAGTGAACTTGAAATTTGAAAAATTCAACAAGAATTTAGTTTACTTACATAACTTCTTAGTTGCTTTATAGTCACTGCTTACTATTAACCATTGCCATTTACCTCAAAAGAAACCGTTAGAAAAGGGGTTAGTACCACTGAACTGCACTAGCCTCCAACTGAGCAAAATCAGGTAAGTAGCAGGGAATAAAACTAGTGCCTTAATAGTTAGGCCACTTCCATACCATCTAGCAGGGATGTAATCGTTACTATCACTGTCAGCTCTTCAAAACTCAGTATCAGACAGGAAGTAGAGTTAACTCTTATCTGCTTATTCATCTGTGCAAAACAGCAAGAAAAAGATACAACCAACACATAAGAACAAAAACAAAAACAAGCAAAACAAAGCAAATGAAAACAAACAAAAAAAAAAAGAAAGAAACCCCAGATATTTGGGGAGTGGTGTCATGAGGGAAAAACGAAACAAAACTGAACTTATGAAGAAGCCACCTAGAGAAGGCTAACAGCTTCATATCCAGTGCAGCAAAATTCTTCAGTAAGTCAAATTACTTCATGGTTTCCACTCCTTCAACTTCTAGTTTGACCTTGCCTAAGGCACCCTTATCACTGTCAAGGCTCACTCTTCGTACACTATACACCATTTAACAGTAATTCAATCAACAAATATGTATTCTCCACATGCTACATTCCAGGTACTGTACAAAATACAGAAGAACCAAAAATATCTAAGACTAGGGCCAATTATAATATAATGTGACCAATGCTACTGGAAGTTGAATCATCAAGCTAACATTTGCAGAAGAGGTAGTAAACAATGCTTCAGGGTAGTTTATACTCAGGTGTAAGATTGGCAGATGATCCACACAATCTTATACCAGAGTATAAACCCACTATATTACTAAGCACAATATTTAGTTCATCCAACATTTTTTTCTTAGCAAGACTTTCTCACTGAAGGAAGGAATATATAGATTTACATTCTGGTACAAGCTCCTTTTGTTACAGACTGGCACTCTGGTAGCACTGTAATAGCGGAAACGAAGAGTGAGAGTAACAAGTCAGGTTACTATTACAACAGGCCCTAGAAGATAAATAAGATTTTACCAGAGAGATAAACAGGAAAAGGCATTCTAGTATAGCCTACTCCAGGTAGCCTAGATTACTTGATTTGTTAGCCAAAGATATTCCTGAAATTGTTACATCCACCAAGTTCATGCTGACTGGCCTTGACTGTGCTTGCTAAAAATTAAATTCCTCTCCACCATCATCCAATTCTTTCCTGTATACATAGTATTAATATCTGATTTGTATATGTGTGTGTTTCTAAAGATTAAACTCAGTGTCTTGTGCATGCTAGGCAAGTGCTCTACAATGAGCTACATCCCCAGCCCTAATAGCTGATATTTACCTAACTTTTACTGAATTCTATGTTTCCAGTTGCTTCTGAATCTTTCTGTTTCTGCTGGCTTCCCTCAAAATTACCTCTAAAGCTTTAAAAAAAAAAAGATGACTTTTTCAGAGCACAATACATCTGACACATTACTACCTATATAATTAGACTTAAACTGAAGACATTTAAGTTGAACAAAATACAAATATAACCTGCTAGTCAAAACAGTTTTAAGTATCTTTCTTGAACTTTAAGAATAACTTCCTTAATTTTATCTCAGTCTCTCCTTGTTTTTTTAATTCTAGGAGAACAGTATTTCACTTCAAATGTGTACCCGATCACTCTTAACAGTCCTGCCCTAGTCTTCTGCTTCAGGATGAAGAAACTCAGAAGACAGTAAAATATAGTCCTAGTTGGATTTTTTCATAAGTATATTCTACATCAAATAAATTCTCTTCCCTAATAAGCAGGAAACCACAAGTCATATGGTAAGGATTGAGTTTCGCAAACATTAATTATAGGAATGATTTCCTGTTCTTTTAATAGCTAAGAGCAGGCATGTATCTTGTTCTATCTAGCATACAGCTACCATTCACCCAATTTTGTTTTGAAAAAGTAAAATAAACACAACAAAGTATTGCATACTTTTAAATAAAATTACCCACCCATTATTGCCTTACTGAACACCTAACAGGTGACATCAAAGAGTCCCATTATGATAACATTTGTTAAGTGGGGAATTCCTAGTAAGTCCTCAAAACTACTTTCCTAATAGTCTCATATAATGTATCTTACAGCCTTATTCCATACCTAGTATCTAAATTGTAAGGGAATCAAGTTTATGTACTCGAATAAAAATTGTATTTTTAAACCATCAAGTAACAATATTCTCAAAGTTACTATGTACTGATTCTAAAGAACAAAAGCAGTACTGGTGATCCCAGGTGAAATGTTCGCAATGTTATAAAAGACATTTCCCTTTTCACATTACTCATTGGGGCCAGACTGTCATTATTTAAGTTCCCAGCCTTGTGACAGTAGGAGGAAGTTACTGGCTGTAAGCGCTTTACTCACTTTCTTCTTTCTTCCCGCCATCTTGCGATCTCCTCTGGAGTGTCTAACTTGATCTTCTTCATACCAGGAGCATGCATCTAGGGGAAAAGGCCTGCTGAACATCAGGACATACTGCACACTTTGGACTACCTGGGAGACTTCACCTCCAACATTGAATTTATAAGCAGAAGCAATTTTAAAACTAAGTGAACATGTTTTATCCATCCATAATAATATAACTTTTCCTTTAAAAGAAAGAATCATTTTCCATGTATTTGGAGTAAAGCTACTGGCAGGGAAAAAAGGAGTAACATAATTTTGGTTACAGTAGATGTATAACCTATTTTCTCAATTTACATGAAATACTGAAATGAGTGACTTATCAACCAAAAATAAAGAAATGAGCAGACATAAGATTTTAAGTAGCATGGCAGTATAAAAATCACCACAGAAGTTGAAGTCAAGAAACTTAAGTACAGTTCTGAAGGAATGGTGTTGTGGTATACAACTGCAATCCCAGCTATAAGGGAGGCAGAGAATAGGAGGATCACAGCTCAAGGCTGGCCCTGGGCAAAAAATGTGAGACCCTATCTGTAAAATAATTAAAGCAAAAAAGGGCTGGGGCATGGCTCAAGTTGCAAAATGCCTAACAAGGGCAATACCCTGAGTTCAAACCCCAATACGATAAAAAAAAAAAAAAAAGTCTAGCTCAAGTCTAGTTCTAAGACCCTGAACAATTTTTTTTTAACCTGTTAAATGAAGCTAATTTACTCACTTTACATTGTTGTTTATGAGGGTAAAATTAAACAAAAGATGTAAAACTTCCTTACAAAGTACAAATTAATCCAAGAATGTTACTTATGACTAGGCTACATAAAAAAGGGCAAAGGATTTATTTATTTTTTTTTTCATTTTTCTTTTATTATTCATATGTGCATACAAGATTGGCTTTCTCCCCCCTTGCCCCCACCCTCTCCTACCACCACCCACCCCCCCCTCCCCGGGCAAAGGATTTAAAAACAAGAACTTACATTTCTCCAATGGAACTGGACAATCTTCTCATGTGCACTAAAAGAGCAATCCACTTCAGGACACTGCAAGAGTTTTTTTTAAAAAGACAATTTAATGCTTTGCACATTAAGTTTACTTTACTATACATACACAGATACAATCTGGGATATATTACATAGTTATCCCATCGTTGTGTAGTATTACTTTTTTTTTTTTTTTCTTCATTTTTCTTATTAAAAGCAAAACAGACATCACTTCAAAACAAGAGTTCTATTTAGAAAATGAAATGGCCCTCCTCAATGTAAATGAGTATAGTCACACTCTATTACTTTCTCTACTTGATCAAAGCATGACTTCGTCAATTGTTGCAAAAATGCCTCTTAAAATTCTAAACTGAGAGCTTACTATACATGAAAGAAATTTTATTGAGACCAATATTTTCTTTTTTTTTTTTTTCTTTTATTATTCATATGTGCATACAAGGCTTGGTTCATTTCTCCCCCTGCCCCCCCCCCTCCCTCCCCCTCACCCCTCAATACCCAGCAGAAACTATTTTGCCCTTATCTCTAATTTTGTTGTAGAGAGAGTATAAGCAATAATAGGAAGGAACAAGGGTTTTGCTGGTTGAGATAAGGATAGCTATACAGGGCATGACTCACATTGATTTCCTGTGCGTGGTGTTACCTTCTAGGTTAATTCTTTTTTCTAACCTTTTCTCTAGTTCCTGGTCCCCTTTTCCTATTGGCCTCAGTTGCTTTAAGGTATCTGCTTTAGTTTCTCTGCGTTAAGGCAACAAATGCTAGCTAGTTTTTAGGTGTCTTACCTATCCTCACCCCTCCCTTGTGTGCTCTCGCTTTATCATGTGCTCATAGTCCAATCCCTTGTTGTGTTTGCCCTTGATCTAATGTCCACATATGAGGGAGAACATACGATTTTTGGTCTTTTGGGCCAGGCTAACCTCACTCAGAATGATGTTCTCCAATTCCATCCATTTACCAGCGAATGATAACATTTCGTTCTTCTTCATGGCTGCATAAAATTCCATTGTGTATAGATACCACATTTTCTTAATCCATTCGTCAGTAGTGGGGCATCTTGGCTGTTTCCATAACTTGGCTATTGTGAATAGTGCCGCAATAAACATGGATGTGCAGGTGCCTCTGGAGTAACCTGTGTCACAGTCTTTTGGGTATATCCCCAAGAGTGGTATTGCTGGATCAAATGGTAGATCGATGTCTAGCTTTTTAAGTAGCCTCCAAATTTTTTTCCAGAGTGGTTGTACTAGTCTACATTCCCACCAACAGTGTAAGAGGGTTCCTTTTCCCCGCATCCTCGCCAACACCTGTTTTGGTGTTGCTGATGATGGCTATTCTAACGGGGGTGAGGTGGAATCTTAGTGTGGTTTTAATTTGCATTTCCTTTATTGCTAGAGATGGTGAGCATTTTTTCATGTTTTTTGGCCATTTGAATTTCTTCTTTTGAGAAAGTTCTGTTTAGTTCACTTGCCCATTTCTTTATAGGTTCATTAGTTTTGGGAGAATTTAGTTTTTTAAGTTCCCTATATATCTGGTTATCAGTCCTTTGTCTGATGTGTATTGGCAAATATTTTCTCCCACTCTGTGGGTGTTCTCTTCAGTTTAGAGACCATTTCTTTTGATGAACAGAAGCTTTTTAGTTTTATGAGGTCCCATTTATCTATGCTATCTCTTAGTTGCTGTGCTGCTGGGGTTTCATTGAGAAAGTTCTTACCTATACCTACTAACTCCAGAGTATTTCCTACTCTTTCCTGTATCAACTTAGAGTTTGGGTCTGATATTAAGATCCTTGATCCATTTTGAGTTAATCTTGGTATAGGGTGATATACATGGATCTAGTTTCAGTTTTTTGCAGACTGCTAACCAGTTTTCCCAGCAGTGAGAGAGCTATGGCAAATTAGTGTGGTAAATGATCAAGGAAGCCTTAAAGGGAAAGAACTCACAAAGGTGGAGAGATCAACAGGAGGGCAAGTCCCGCCCTGTGACCAAATACAAAGAGCTGCCAGACCTTCCTTCTGTGCTGCCATCTTACCTCTCCCTAAAGCAGGGGCTCCCCACTCTCAAACTGCAAACCTCAGGTTCACTATCCCCATTTGTCAAGTCATCAAATATTTCTATGAAAATTATAAACTTGTAAGGGAAACAAGCTTGAAATTTCTATCAAGAACACAAATAAAAAGCCATTATGCTATATCAAATTCAGGTCAAGCAAGAAAACCTACTTTTGTATGTTCTGACATATGTTTGTTATATTTTTCTTGATTTTTAAAACCACGATCACAGGTATCACAAAAAATGTGAAAAACTGGTTCCTTTCTTTTCTGCAAACAAAAACAAAGAGGCATTAGGCTTTTGATGAAAAATCTTTGGGGCAATAATAAATATAACTATCCTTCTAGAAACACATACTGGATTTTTCACATACTCCTCATATGTGGGGGAAACTTCTGAATATATTTCTAATTAAGGAATAATTCTTTTATTTTTAGCAAAAGCCAGCCATGACTTTAAAAAAACAAATCTAAATAAAGCTAATACAAACTATTTGTAGATTTCAAGTTGGCAAACTAATTAAGATTTAATACAGCACATGTCCAAAGGATGTAAACGTAAATATTCAAGGTAAAAACAGCATCTCACCAAAGGATCTAAACATAAATTTTCAAGGTAAAAACACTATCTCATCTTTTAGGAAAAACATATGAACTATTCATGTATGAAATATTTACATTTTCTTTTAAAAAATCACAGAAGGGGCAAAAAGAATCACTTAGATAAAGATTAGTTGTTCTTTGATTCACAATTTGATATTTCCACACCTAAACATAAAGTAAAAAAAGATTACTAAACTAGACTATAAACTACATAGGAAGTGGTCTCCAATTTTTTAATGCTAGGATTGTTAATAAATAAACTACATTTGCACAATATTGTACATATAAGCTATATACTCATGTTAAAATGGAGGATATTAATTTCATATTGTATATAGCACTCAACTTATTCTAAACTAATGGTATTATTTATATACCTTAATTTTAAAGACCCTATCTGTGAGCTATGTTAGAATAAAGGAAGGCTGTTTTAATGCAGTATTAGGTTTGTGAAGTATAATCAAGAGCTGTTCCTCATTAAAAAAATTTAAAAAAAGACTCCCACAAAAATGACAAATACAAAGGCTAGTGGAGTAGCTCAAGTGGTAGAGCTCCCACTTAGCAAGCGTGAGGTCCTGAGCTCAAATCCCAGTATCACCAAACACAAAAAATTAAAAAATGACAAATACCCACTATTGAAAAAAATTGAGGCTCTGCCATGGATTAAGATAAACAACAAATATAGAACAGTAATGAGTTTCAAACAGTATTTTATGCATACAGTATGAGTAGATACAAACTATTTTCAATTAGAAACATTAAATTTAATATTAAATTATCTTTTTTTCTACACATATCTGTTCTTAAAAGTTCCTTCTATTTTAAAAAGCAAAAAGACTATGAAAAACAAAGATTTGTGTTCCACTTTATGAGAAAAAAACTGGACTTTTATTCTTCTCCCAAAGTTCCATCCCTCACCTGCCAATCTGTTAGCAATTCTTTAAACTTATCTAAGTTTAATAACACATTTATTTGTAATCATAATTCTCAATTTTACTCCTGATTCTGTATTGAAATAATGTTTTATTTTTCTACAATTTATCCATTTACTTCTTAAACCAATTTTGCTTGAGGTTTTTACCAATAGCTAAGATCCTTTTATAACAAAGTTCCACTGGCTTACTGGCTCAGTAATGGATATAAACCATGGAGACAGTTATGACAGAACAAACAACAAAAAAGAAACAAGAACAAAAGGACCAACGTGTCACACTCTACATCTCAAAAATACCTTTTTTTTCTGTTTTCTATTAGGAGGGAAATTGAAGTCAGTGAATTTAGCATCATATTTTCGTGGAAAATAAGACTGTTTAGCTAAAAAACAAAAAGACATCCGTTAAAGTTTGCAACTGCACAATTATTTGAAATTTTATTTACTATCACATATCACGATATTTGAGTAAAAACACTGGCAAACTACCAGATTATTACTAATTACAGTATTTTTCTTTTTCTTTTGGTGATATGGAATTTGAACTCAGGGCCTCACACTTGCTAGGAAGACAGCTCTACCACTTGAGCCACTCTGCCAGCCCTCAAATAACTTTTCAAATGAAAAAATACTGATTCAGGAATGTAGGAGTGACTCAAGGGGTAGAGCACCTGCCTTGCAAGTGTGAGGCCCTGAGTTCAAACCCCAGTACCAGCAATAAATAAATAAACAAACAAACAAATATGAAATACTGCTGAGACATGTCCATCGATGCTTTCAGTGTCTAAGTACAAGAATGGACAATCTAACCTGATGAAACTCTTTCAGCTGTTTCAAATATTAGAAATGTCACCAATAAAACCCCTAATCCTGATCCTTCAGCATCAATTTCACAGGAAGAAAACAGAACCTTGTGAAATATATCGTAAATCCCACTGCATCCTTTCATTCTTATCACCATAACCCAACTCAAAAACCCTGATCTTCCACCTAGATTACTGTCTCAGCCTCCCAGATTGTCTTCCAGTCCCTAAGCCCGTTCTTCCAACTGATCCCCCATACCGATACACAAAACTAATTCTGTAATCCTGCCATAACTCAGGGCCAGCATCTGCAAAAGACTTCCTAGAGTGCAGTTTATTTTCTTCCCCTACCTTCCTCCACACCTCCCACATACTATACTTCAGCAGAATGCTGCAATCTCCAAAGATCACCTGAAACTTCACCTCTTTGCCTCTACCTAAAAAGTATCCTAACTCAAATCCTACATACCACCCAAGGCACTTCTTCCAAAGCTTTTCCCAATTTCCTCTGCACTCTAAATCACCTTTGATATGTCTCTATCACCAATCACACTAGACTATGATTTATACTTACAAACCCAAGTCAAACTCAGAATGTGAGTCAAATTCATATTCCTAGCATCCAGCACACAGTAAATCCTGATTTTTTGGATTCAATTTAATATAAATTGGGTCTTATACAGAGCTGGATAACAGTTTTAGGTGAACACTCTTGGGTCTTAAAATATGATCCATGAACCCAAATTTATAACACCAACCACAAATTTCCCCTGAAATACAGACTAATGGCTAACAGCCTATTCAGTGTCTTTACTTGACATGAACATATTCTAAACTCAACTCTAAGTCTTCCAAATTCGTTCCATCCACATCCTTTCCTATCTCAGTTAATAGCAACTCTATCCTAGCTGTTTGGCAAAAAAAATTTAAGTGCCTTTAAGCTATTCTCTCTCTCATATCCTACATCCTATCCTGAAGCAAGTCATTTTGACTCCACCTTTAAAACATATCTGGAATTTAACTACTCATCACCCCACATATTCCACTTGGCCCAAGTCCCCAATAAATATCGGGCAACTGCAACAGGTTCCTAACTGGTCTAACTTTCATTCAATTTCCACCAGGAGCCACAGTAATCCTCCTAAAATATAAATCAAATCATGTCACTTCCCTTCACTACCAAGGCTGCTCTCTTCCCCAGTCTTCTACAACTATACCCCAGGATCAGTATTTCTCTAGCCACACTGGCTTCCATTCTGATGTATAGTTTCTACATCAAAGTTTTTGCACTTGCCCTTCCTTCTGCCTCTATCCCTTCTCATCCAGGTGTATGCATGGCTCTGATCTCTCACCTCCCTGGTCTTTACTCAAATGTCACCTTATGAGTGATGATGACATTTAAAACTGCATTCTTCTTCATTATTTTATCTCTAGACGCAGTACTCATTCTTTCTTCTTTTTTTTTGTCTTGTTTTCTTTTGGGTTTCTTAACACAGGGTCTTGCTATGTAGATCAGGCTAGCCTGGTACTCATGATCCTCCTGCCTCGGTCTGCAGAGTGCTGGGATTACAGGCATGAAGCACCACATCTGGCACTCATTAACCCTTAATACACAGTTTTATTTTGCTTACTGTCTGTCTTCCCATATTAGGAAGACATTAACTCCTATAAAGATAAGGATTTTTGTGTTTTGTTCACACCTCCTGACGCATAGTTGAAATTCAATAAATAACAGCTAAGCTGAATGAACAGGCTGGGGAAACACTCCACAACGACATATTTTGAGGCATTAACTACCAGACTCCAATAATGCAGGGAGAAATGCAGAAAGGAAAGGCAGAAATGAGGAAAAGAAAGGTCAAAGGGTACCGTGAGGAACAGAGGCTTACCTGGAGGGTTGTGGGACTTCTGATGCGGAGGGAAACAATCAGGAGACTGTCTCCAGTACCAAGATGTCGAGGGCTGTAAATTCCAAGAAGCCTGGCCGCTGAGTTGAGGATGAGAATCAAGGGGGGATTGGGCATCGAAGGGGGGCTGCGCTCCAGGAAGAATCTGGGCATCGAAGGGGGGCGGCGCCCCGGAGAGAGACTGGGCCTGCATGGGTGGCTGTACCTCTGAAGGCTTTGACCCAGCCGCGAGAGGCAAAGACAAAGCAGGTGGCGGTGGCGGCGGCATTGCCCAGAGCGCCCAGTTGTCCCGCGGTAGGGCGGTGCCGCTTAGGGGCCCCAACGCGGGAGTTAGTTCGGGGGCTGGGAGCCACCCGGTAGGAACCACGAAATCATCAGCCGGATCTGCCATGCCACTCTCGAAGCAGCCTGGCAAAGCATGAGAGTGTGGAAGAGACTTTAACCGTCACTTCCGCTACTGCGAATTACACGGCTCATCCAATCACAGACTGTAACGTCATTAGTAGGCGCCGGAAAAACTTCCGGCATTCGCGGCGCAGGGCGGGTTGCCTTTTGGATAGATTTGACGTGCGCGGATAGTTTTGCTTGAGAGACCGGTGTCGCCACCGCGGATGGCGAGGGACCTGATCGGGCCGGCGCTGCCGCCTGGCTTCAAGGCCCACGGGACAGCGGACGACGAGGAGCGGGACCCGAGCCCCGGTAAGCGGCGGCTTGTGCCCTGCCAGCCAGGCCCGCTCGGCCCTGTTCCTGGAGGAAAAGTCTGGGGCCTTCAAGGGCGGAGGAGTAGGGAGTGAGTGCAGTCCGACCCGAGCTAACTCCCCTTCCCAGTCCTAGCAGTGGGAAGGAGGCTCCTCAGAAACCGAAGTTTGACCTGATAATCGTTTCGGCGCTAAATTACAGGCTAAAATACGAGCTGGACGCTGGGTTAATTCATCAGTACACATTCGATCATTTCATCCTCCCAGCAACAGTCCCTACGTTACAAATGGTGATATCGAGGCCCAGGCAGATTCCCAGATCATAGACGTACCTGACAAACTCCTACCCATCCTTTGAGGTTCAACTTAAATGTCATCTCAGTGTCATCTTCTTGAAGTCTCCCAAAGATTGTCATGCCTTCCTCTTTACTCTCAGGGTTTCCCCGTTTAGTTACATTTATTTAATACACTGTGTCTGAATAATTTGTCAGTGTATCAGTCTCCACATTTCACTATGCTTCTCTATCTTAACATATATGGGCATTTCCTATGTACCAAGCAAATGCTTTTCAAGATGCCTTTGTATGTATCTATTGTCTTTAATGTTAATTCTAATTTGTAGACTGACACCAAAGAATATCCCAACCATTTCTGAATCTAATTTTCCTTCTTTGACTGCCCAGAGGCCAAGTTAATACTTGAGGTTTCCTTCCAGGTCTCATTTCTGATACAGACATTAAAAATAAGTCTTGTTCTTATTTTAGCTAGGAAGTGTCCATTCAACTAAAATTTAAGAAAAGTGTGAGTAAATCCCATTGAGTGAATGTTCTGCAACTTATTTACCCATTTTATACAGCTATGAACATTTGAAAAGTTTCCAATTTTTGACTGTTACAAAAAGTGTTGCTATGTATTATTGTACATGTTTTATTGTAGATCCCCCATAAACTTTCAATTTATGAAAGTTTCTCAGCGTGCAAGAGAATTCTAGTTGTTCCACATCTCCCTAATAGACCTACAAGCCTTATAGTTGGTTTGTTGTTGTTGTTTGTTTATTTGTTTTTAGCAGTACTGGATTTTGCATTCAGTGTGTCAGGGCCTTGCCGGTGCTAGGTAGACACTCTACCATTTAAGCCATGCCCTGGCCCTTTTTTGCTTTAGTTATTTTTCAGGTGGGGTCTCACATTTTTGCCTGGGGCTGGCCTTGGGCCATGATCCTCTTACCTATGCCTCCCTCATAGCTGGGATTACAGGTATATGCCACCATGCTCAGCTTGTTGTTTGACATGGAGTCTCACTAACTTTTTTCCCCGGCTGGCCTCAAACCACAATCCTTCCAATCTCCTCCCAGGTAGCAGGGATTGCAGGTATGAGCCACCTTGTCCAGCCAGTTTTTTCCTGCATTTTTAATCTGACGGGGGCTTTTGTTTTGTTTTGGTTTTTTTATAATAGTACTGGGGCTTGAACGCAGGTAATCTAGGGTTCTGAAGCAGTATATCTTGGTAGTTTTAATTTGTATTTTCCTAATGAGAAATGAAATTAACCAGCTTTTCATGTTTTTTGGTTATTTTCAAGTCTGTGGCTCATTTTTCCAATGAACTTTCTTATTGATTTGTAGAGTTCTTTATTTAGTCTAGATACAAGTTATTTTTCAGTTGTATGTATTGCAAATATCCTAATTCTGTAGTTGCCTTTTCAATCTCATAAGTGTGCTTTGATGAACAACAACTTTTAATTTTAATGTATTCTGATTCTTATTTTCTTTTATAGTAGAATTTTTGTATTCTATTTAAGGAATCTTTACATACACCAGGGTTATGAAACTGTACTATATTATAAAGCATTATTGTTTCAGGTTACATGCTTGCTTCCACATTCCATCTGCAATTGATGTTCGTGTACGGTGTGAGATAGGGATTTTTTTCCCCATAAGTGTATCCAATTAGCCTGACACCATTTATTCAACAAACCATTCCTTCTCCACTATACCATACTATAATGTCATCTTCCTTGTAAATCTGTTGACCGTATATGCATGCATATAGTTTTCCCTTCTTTTCTTTTCTTTCTTTTTTGGTGGGACTGGGGTTTTAATTCAGGGCTTCATGCTTAGAAAGCAGGCATTCTATGGCTCGAGCCGAACCTCCAGTCCTTTTTCCTCTGCTTAATTTGGAAATGGGGATCTCATGAACTGTTTCCCCAGGCTGTCCTCAAACTGCAGTCCTCCTTATCTCGGCCTCCCAACTAGCTAGAATTACAGACTTCAGACACACCAGTGCCTGACTAGTTTTCCTTTCTTATTCTGGTAAAATATACATAAGATCTATCATATTAACCTCTGTCATCTCCTGAATGCTTTTCATCTTGCAAAACTGAAACCTGTATTTATTAAACAGAAACTCTCCCTTCTCCTCCCCTCCCCAGTCCCTGGCAATTATCATTCTACTTTCCTTTTCTATGACGTTGACTACCCCAAATGAAATCAAGCAGTAGTATGGGGGCGGGGGCAGGTGTAACTATCTTATTTCACTTAGCATGACATCCTCAAGGTTCATCTACACGGCACACCTCAGAATTTCCTTCATGTGGAGATTCCATACCCACATACCGGTCTGGTATCACTGTTTGTTCCTCACACTCAGCTACCCAGAAAGAAATCACTAACAAGAGTGACCAGTTCAAAGGAGGAAGGGAGCCCATAGGTCTGAGACTCAAATACATACTCTAGAAATTGCTGGGAAATTTCTGAGATCACATTATTATTATTATTTTTTGCAGTGCTGGGGTTTGGACCTACACCTTGAGCCACTCCACCAGCCCTCTTTTGTGAAGGTTTTTTTCAAGATAGGATCTCTTAAGCTATTTGCCCAGGCTGGCTTTGAACTACAATCCTTCTGATCTCTGCATCCTGAGTAGCTAGAATTACAGGTGTGAGCCACTGGTGCCCAGCATGGGGCACAAATGTTTTAAGACCAACCCACACACACCCTAGATGCTGCTTTGGAAAGCTAAGTGGAGCCTTGGCTATTTTGATAACTAACTCTAGTACCTCATCTTAGTGACTTTCACCTCCACTAAAGCAGGTACACATGTAGTCATACACTGGACCCTGTTCTACCTCCAAATTCAATCTCATTCTCAGCAAGAACCCCTTATATGCCCATCATATTCACTCAGTTTCATTTGTCTTTTATTTTTGTTTTTTATCTCATCAAACCTTCTATGCTCTTTATCTTTTTTTGTTCTCCTTTTTATTACTTTTGTTCCTCCTCCACTTAGACTGTAGGGCCCATTCATTGTTTTCAACTGCCCTCTTTCGTTGACTATTGTGATAAACCCATCCAGAAAAAAATAGTCCTAGATTACTGCAAACGATTATCTCTGTGAACCTCTGCCTTGGCTGCCAATGCTGCTAAAAGAAACCTTACAATACTAAAAATTATAATCTGTTCCCTAACTACGTTCTAACTGCCCAGTAATCCCCATAGGTTTCACCATTCAGCTCTCTTCCTCCATTACCACTCATGGCTTTTAAAACTTTTTCTTGGTTAAACTTTATGTCTCTTACCTCTATTTTATTGAAAAATTAGATGCCGTCATAAGTGAACTTCCCAGTTTTCTGTTACTGTAACTAAAATTTTCCCAAATGTCTTTCTGTTGTCTCTTTGGTAACAATGGAAGAGGTTTACCATGTCCTTCCAAAGCTATTCCTTCCACTTTACTCTGAACCCTTCCCTTATCATCAGGACTCCATGCCCTTAGCATTTAACCAAAATATTCAAATCTTTCCCATCTTTTAAGAAAATTCTACTTTTTATCCTCCACTAACTACTCCTCTTTCTGCCTGGATTACTCTTCTTTAATCCCTACTCCTTTTGCCCAGCTGTCTTGTTTTTTAGGCTCCAGCCCAACCATCATTTTTTCTAGGAATCATTCTCTAGCATCTCTACTTGCCACCTGCTAAGGCGAGGATTGCTCCTTCCTTATATTTCCATGATTTAATCATGTCAAAGGATCTACTTTACTTCTACTGTAAAGGACCAGATAGTAAATATTTTAGGCAAAACTCAAATGACTCTTGTTATGCTCTTGTATAACAGAGAAAGCAAGTATCAGCCAGGAACAGTGGTGCATAGCTGTAATCCTAGCTACTTGGGAGGATTGTGGTTCCATGAGGCCAGTCTGAGCAAAAAGTTTGTGAGACCTCCTCTAAATCAATAAAAAGCTGGGTGTGGTGGTGTATGCCAATATCTCAGCTACCTGGGAAGGGTAAATAGGAGGATCACAGTCCAGGTCAGCCCAGGTATAAACATTTAGTTGTTTGAAAACTAAAGCAAAAAAGGGCTGGGGGCATGGCTCAAGTGGTTAAATGCCTGCTTAACAAGCACAAGGTCCCAAAATCCCAAAAAAACATGTATCTACAAATTTTTTGTTGAAATTCAAAATAACAATGTGCCACTTTTGTATTATAAGTTGGTTTGTCTGTGTGTGTGTGTGTATGTGTGTGTGTGTATTTTGTTTTGTTTTTTGGCAATTCAGGTCATGTCTCTCCTGATATGAAACTTCCCAATGGCTTTCTTGTATAATTAAGATTCAAGTTTCATATCCTAAACTAGCCTCTATTGACATTTACTATGTGGCAGACACTACACAAGAGCTTTACATGTATTAGCTGAGAGGATCTTTTCCACTGTCCTGGGAGGTTGAAACTATTATTGACTTCATTTTATAAGCAAGAGTATAGTATAGAAAGGTTAGGTAACTTGTCCAAGTCACAGAGCTAGGAAGTGGCTGAGCTGGAATTCAAAGCCAAAGAACCTGACTTCACAGTATACAGTCTGGCCCCTTTATGCTAGCCACCTTCATCTTTCCATTTTGCTTACTTTGCTTTGGTCATACTGGCCTTGCTGTCCCTCAAGCACACCAAGCTTGTTCTCTCCCTAGGACTTCTGCACTGCTCTTCCTCTGTCTAAAACATTCTGCTTTTGGATTGTTGCGTGGCCACTGTCCATCTCATCTTTAAGTCTATCCAAATGCCTTTTCAGAGAGGCCTTCCTTTACCACTGTCTTTGAATTTACTCTCCCAAATATTCTTCCTGTTTTTGTAGCTGTACTTTAGCTATAGCGATTGATCTTCTTTCTTTCCTTTTCTTTTTTTTGGCAGTACTATGGTTTGAACTCAGGTCCTCCCTCATGCTTGCTAGGCAGGTGCTCCATAACTTGAGCCATTCTGCCAACCCTATTTTGTGTTGAGTTTTTTTTGAGATAGGGTCTCAAACTATTTGCCCAGGATGGCTTTGAACTGTGATCCTCCTGATCTCTGCCTCACAAGTAGCTAGGATTATAGGCATGAGTCACCAGTGCCTGGCTGATCTTTCTTTTTATGTTTGTTTCTCTAGAAGTATTTACTCAAGCTGGGAGGTGCTACATGCCTGTAATCCCAGATTTGTGAGGCTGAGGCAGGAGGATCACAGTTCAAGGCCAGCCTGGGCTGCATGGCAAGATCAACTTGTGGGTTCCCATTCTAGATCCACTATTTAGTGTGAAATTGGACAACTTACTTAACCTCTCTGTGCCTGGTTTCCTCATCTGAAGAGAAAAATACATATGATACTGCCTTAACAGAATTGTTGTCAGGATTTAATAAGTTAATGAATGTAAATCTCTTAAAACAGTACATAGCACGTAAGAATTCAAGACATATTGCCACTTACTTATTGTTTTTGAAGTTTCTGTTATTACTAATATTGAATGAATGATATCCTGGGACAGTTTTTTGAAAATCACATTTTTCAGGCCTCCTCCAGGCCAACTGATTAGTAGTATCTGAGAAAAGTGAGTGGGCTCAGAAGACCCTTCCCCACTCCCTGTCACAATGCATCCTCATTCTCTTCTCAGTATCACTACCAACAAGCAGTAAAACTTGGATTTGCTTGAAAAATCAGCTCAAAAAAAAAGACACCCTGAGAAATATGATGATGGTGGTAAAGATAACATTTTTAAAGTGGTGATTCTTAGAAACCAGAATGAATTATTTTGATTTTTGATATAGTATGGAGTGGCAAGTTTGTTTTTTGACTATACGTAAATATTGTGTACCATATGCTATATACAAGAAAAAAGGAAGCTGTTTTGCCTGATGCACTAACCAATTCAGAAACTTTATATTATCAGAGAAATTATGTTACTGTTAAGATTTAAGTTTGGATATTAACAAAGATCCTGTGAATCTCATTAAAGAGATGTATAAGACAAGACATCTGGCTTCCTGGAGTTGGAAAAGAAAACTGTATATAAAACAGCAGTGTGTGAGGTGGAAGTCTATGATAAGGGATAGACAGGCAGTGCTGTGAATTTCAGAAAAGAAAGTGAAAACTATCAGCAAGGAGGGCTCAGTGAAATGATGCATGCAACAAATCTTCTTTAGCTGCAGGACCAGCTCTGCCCCCTAATTATAAAAGCAGTAGCTCATATTCATCAGACAGTGATGAGGACAGTAGTTCTTTGTCCGAAGAAGGAAATCAAGAATCTGAAGATGACAGTGGACCAACTGCAATGTAAGTCATTTAAATTATACGATAAACCAATCTTCAGACTTGTGCAAGTTGGCTAGAGCACATAGCTAGTGAAGGATTTCTACAGCACAGGAAAAAGTTATTTCATGTGGCATTTCATCATGAACTATACCTTTACAAAGGAGTTTATTCTAGTAGTAGATGACTGTAGAACTGTAGAGACATTAGAATTTCAATAAAATTCTTGTGTGTGTGTGTGTGTGTGTGTGTGTGTGTGTGTGTGTGTGCGTGTGCTGGAGAAGTGCTCTATCACTAACTACATCTATAGCACAATGGAATTCTTATATAGGAGTTTTTTCCTTATGGTATTATTGAGGTAACTAAATATTCTAAATAAACCAAAGAATTTCTTTTTAAAAGTTTAAATGCAGTGCATGTTTAGTTTAGATAAATGAATGATTTCCTTCTAATCTAGTTACCCACCAGGGATCATATAAATAAGAAGTCGAAATTTTGTTTATTATTGAGTAGCGAGGTTTTTCCACTGTATTTTAAAGTTATGGGGCAGAAAGAACAACTTATACCCCTTCCATAAGTGAGAGTAAAAACTAAACTTACATATTTTACTGAGAAACATCTAAGAAGACTATTCTATTTCATTTAGTGGTATGTTCAATACTAAATAAAATATAAAATGGTGATATTTTACTGCTCAAAAAAAAAAACCCCAAGCTCTATTTAGAACAATGAATTCCAGAAAAAGATTAATTAATAACTATAGTAATGTCCATTTTTAAAAATTTGGCTAGGTTAATTTATTGTCTCAGTGTTTGTACAACTAGTTAAAGTTAGTGCTTCCTTTAAATATTAGTATTTCTCTGTGAAAATTATTGAGCATATATGTATAAAGATACACTACTGTGTTTTAGAAAACAGAGGAAAAGCCAGGATGACGATGATGATGGATTTTTTGGACCAGCCCTTCCTCCTGGATTTAAAAAGCCAGATGATTCTCCTCCCAGGTGACAATGCATAATGTTTCAGCCAGTGTCTTATTAATTCATGAAAGAGTTTTCTGCAATAAACTATAAAAGTCTATACACTTTTATAGACTATAGAAAACTTCCACATCTCTTATTTGATACTCACAAAAGTGTTTTGTGGTAGGCTGGGTACATTAGTACCCTCTCTCCCTTTTTAAAATGATAAGGTGGCACAATAATAAGTGGTATACCTGTGGCTTGAATGCTGATGTTCTGACTTCTAATTCAGTGTTTTCTTTGTTTTTATCGAGAGAGGAAACAAATCCTTACAATGTCATATTAGACAATTTGACTAACTTTCTCTGAACCTCAGATTTGTCATCTGTAAACTAGGATAATGCTATGTACTTCCCAGACTTGTTGTGGTTGAATTTTATGCATGCGTGCATGCGCGCGCGCACACACACATGTACGTATGTATGTATGTATGTATCCACATGTATGTATGTGTATATGCAGGTTGTGTGTGTGTCTTCTGTGGTGCCTGGCCCAGAGTAAGTATACAGTCTGTCTTCCTCTCAGCACTGTAAAAATTTTTAATATCCAATATAAAATTACCTACTACATTGTTTATAGTTTATAGCACTGTATCAATATGCAAGAATAAGTAGAAAAGATACTTGTTTGTTTTATATTCAGAGTTTATAATCACATTTGGCAACTCCTAATTTCTATGTAACTCTGGTCCTTTTAGATATAGCAGGGGTAGACAGTCTACTGCAGTTATTTTGTATGGTCCCCAAAGGATGAGGTTTACATTTTAATTAATTAATTAATTAATTTTTTAATTTTTTTTCAGTACTCAGGGTTTTGTGCTTGCTAAGCAGGTGCTGTACCACTGAGCCACGCTTCCAGCCCAGTTTTTACATTTTTAAAGAGCAGTTAGAAAAATAAAGACAAATATGCCACAGAGACACAAATGTGGCTCTGAAAGCCTCTAATTTATTTATTTTTTTTTATTTTTAATTTTTAATTTTTTCTTTTATTCATATAGTGCATACAATGTTTGAGTCATTTCTCCCCCCTTCCTCCTACTACCTCCCTTACTCCCCTGTCCCCTCCCTCTCCCCCCTACCCCCTTGCTACCAGGCAGAAACTATTTTGCCCTTATCTCTAATTTTGTTGAAGAGAGAGTATGAGCAATAATAGGAAGGAACAAGGGTTTTGCTAGTTGAGATAAGGATAGCTATACAGGGAGTTGACTTGCATTGATTTCCTGTACATGTGTGTTACCTTCTAAATTAATTCTTCTTGAACTAACCTGAAAGCCTATAATTTACGATCTGGCATTTCATAAAAGGTCTGCTCACCACTGGAATATTAACATTCCTTTTAAGAAAACACATTACAGATGGAGCATCTCAAACCTGGAAATCTGAAATGCAAAATGCTCCAAAATCCAAAAATTTTGAGTGCCAGCATGGTACCACAAGTCTGCTGGCTCAGTGCACACAAACTTTGTTCCATGCACAAAATTACTTAAAATATTGTATAAAAGTATTTTTTACAAAAAAGCTGTCTTATAAGGGGCATATGCAACATAAGTGAATCTTATGTTTAGACATGGGTCCCCTCCTCAAAATTTCTCATTATGTGTATTGTAAGTATTCCAAAATCTGAAATTTGAACACTTTTGGTCCCAGACATTTTGCATAAGAGGTACTCAACTGCGAAGATCTATAGTAGTTCCTTTCTTGAGAATCACATTTTGGCAATAATAAAACCTATGTGTGAAATAAATAGCTAGTAACATACATTGTAGCCAAAAACCTCTTATACAGGCATAGCATTCCGTGGTTATATTATATTTACTATATTTTAAGGCTTTATGTGCCACAAATTTTATCTCCATAAAACCCCTGAGGTCAGAAAATTGAACTCTAATTGCATTTGTAACTGCTAAAAATTGTACTCAGAAAAAAACTCAGGCTGTGCTTCCTTATACCTTATAAATAATAGCAAACTGGATCTTTCTGACAATGCCAAACTTTTTTTTTTTCCACATCAGACAAGTAATGTGCCCATATCATAACAATGTTTGAGAGAGGCACATATCACACAGTGGCATAAACATCCAATCCTTATACTAATGAGCCAAAAAAGGGCCAATTCCCTGTCTTTCATATACAAAATTGTTATGCTCAAAGAGGGAAAACAAGAGGTTATTAAGTGTTGAGGATAAGCTCCCAGACTTTTTTGATTCTTCCTGCCAGGAAACCTATTTTTGAGGCTGTAATTGGCAATACACCTGGAAATTCAGCTTAGAACTTCAGTGCCACCTGGTAGGTGACACTGGCCCAGTGACAGCTGTGGGGAAAACACTGGTACAGAAGCAAGGGTTGAGGCACTGGTGAAGTGGCTCAAGAGCTGAGGCCCTGAGTTCAAACCCCAGTACCACCAAAAAAAAAAAAAAAGAAAAAAGAAATTTCTTCAAAAGCAAGGATGAAGAAATGGAAAAGTATGAAGTATGAGAGAGATGGAAAACATACTTTCTCTTTTATATTTCCCTACATATAGTAAGGTTCAGAATTCAGACAATTCTCTTTTGTACTGATGACAATCTCTTCAGAATGGAGCAGTAGGTAGCTCAAAAGAGCATGGGCTTAACCCAGCTCAGTCACTCCTGCTTGTGTTAACCTTGGATATTAATTTTACCCAAAATGGAGTGTCCCTGACCAGGGTTGTTTCAAGGAGACAGGCCCACTGGCTGAAATGTGGTTAGTGTGACACCTTTTCCTCTGTCTGTGGGTCTTGATGAGCTATGTTCATTCTTCTACACTTGCATGTCATTATTGTATCACCATTAGTAAGCACAGCATTCAGATTTGTATGCTGTTGTGCCACATGGATGATCACTTACATTTGTCATATGCACATGCTAGATATTTTCTTAGAATAATTCAGTTTCTACTTAAGTAGTTCTGACTATGATTATGATGCTCTTAAGGCATTTTTCAGTGGGCAGTGAACATCAAACTGAAAAAAAGCCAAGCACAAAATAGAAAAAGAACTCCACAAGTTATAGTACATCCATCATAAGACTTTAAAAAGACATTATCATTTTTACTTAGTATAGTTCTTTTCAAGAAGTGAGCATAGACAGGCACCTGTAGCTCATGCCTATAATCCTAGCTACTCAGAAGGCAGATCAGGAGGATCATGGTTGGAAGTCAGCCCCAGCAAACAGCTCATGAGACCCTATGTCAAAAATACCCAGTACAGAAAGGGGCTGGTGAAGTGACTCAAGCAGTAGAATGCTGCCTAGTAAGCATAAGACCCTGAGTTCAAGCCCCTGTACCGGCCCCCACCAAAAAAAAGTGAGCATTCACCATTGTCACAAAGGTTGAGAATTATTGATTTAGTAGCTAGTTGACAAAGAAGTAGAAAGGTAAAAATGCAAACAATTAGTTTTTTAAGACACTTAGTAGAAAAATATTAAGTAATACTAATAAAAATAAAATGCTTGTTTCAGCATTTGTTATTATCTGGCTTTATTATTTTCGTGACCTTTTATTCTGAAAACAGTTTTTTTAGAGTCAGGGAGAATAATAAGGTACATTTTATTTTTCAGGCCTATAATAGGTCCTGCATTGCCACCTGGTTTCATTAAATCTACCCAGAAAAATGACAAAAGCAGAGATGACCCAGGACAAGTATCATCATATTTCAACTCTAAGGTTTGGAAAGTTTTTATTTAAAAAAGATATAACAAACTCAGAACTGTAAGGGTACCTGTAATGATTATACTTAAATATAACCTAAGACTCAGTTATATTCAGACTAATTTAAGATCATAACGTAAGTAGATGAAATCAAAAACTATTTCTAACTCTGAGGTTCTGGTAGAAAAAACAAGATCAACAAAACATTGCCTACTCAAGCTGCTTATCTTTGAAGGGGACTTTAAAGTGTTAGAAATAACAGAACATGATGAAGAGTTAAGGGATCATTGTGATTTGACCTAGAGGAGAGAAAACTGAAGAGCTTTTTAGTAGATTTTGGTTTCTACTTTAGTAGAATTTGGTTCTGACTGTGATTATAACAGGTTTTAACCTCGAAATTAAGTCTCTCCTACCCAGCTCTGTTACCTGTGTAAAACACATGCACTGGTAGATAGTGATTTTATGAAATAACGTATCAAATGATTTTATAGTAAAATGAAGGCTGTTTTTCTTCTTAACAATAGCTGAGATTTGTATTTTATTATTTGTAATGTATTTTCCCCATCTGTGGTCTCATTCTCAATAGTCTCATAAAATAGATATTATCTGTATCTTCAAAATTTGAAAGACAAAAGATACTGGCTAACTCACCCAAGTTTACACAATTTTTACCTATCAAAACAATGGCTCAAACCAGTTTTTCTGACTTTAAATCACATACTCAAGTCTATTATGCTCAGTGTTTTCCTATAAGTGAATTCATATAGTCAAGAGACTCCTGCTCACCTCAACTGAGAACTCAGTTAGCTATACTTAAGTTGCTGAATGGAAATATAGTGCAGTAGTGAAGATCATGAACTTCAAAGATATTTACTCTTTCAACAAGTGTTTTTAGAGAATGTGTCAGGCATATAGTCACAAAAATAAATCTGTCAACAAATTCTATTGTTCCTGCCTTCCGAAGACATCCAGAATCTAACCACTCGTGCACCCATCCTGGTCCAGGTGACCCTCATGTTTCACCTATTTGTTTAACCCTTGTCCCTCTCCTGCCTCTTCTCAACACAGCAGCTACTGAGGTTCACATGAAGCGAACCCACTTCATGTCACTAACACTCAAAACCATCAAATTGCTCTTCTAGAAAAGCCAGAATCCTTACAGAGCCCTGTATAATCTGCATCCATAGCACTGATTTTGTCTTTTACTTTGATGCAACCACTCTGGACTCTTTACTGTTCTTCCTCAAATGTATCAGGCCAATTCCTACCTCTTAGCATTATACCTGCTGTCCAAGTCTACCCTGTATGGCCTGCTAGATGTCTTTATGGCTGACCTCCAAGACTTTCCAGGCATTATTATTGTTTTTGGTTTTGCTTTTTGAGACAGACCTTCCCTAAGTAGCTCAGGCTGGCCTCAGTCTCCTGATCCTACTGCCTCAGCCTCCTGGTTCTGGGATTACAGGCGTGTGCTGACTACCCTTCATACTTTTTCTCTGGAGTAATCTCCCTCTTTCCTTTGCTTTTATGCCCCTCTCTCCTTTGATTTTCCCCATGGTATTATTTATTACCACCAAACATAACATTAGTTTTTACAGCTTCTTTTTGTTTGTTGTTGACATCTTTCCACTAGGATGTGGCTCCATGAGGACAGAGACTTTTGTCTTCTCACCAACGCCTGGTACTATTCAGAAGTAGTCATTGAGTGAGTGACAAATTTAGACATAGTCCTTGTCCTCATTAACCTACAAGGTAATGGCAAATGTGTACATTAAGTAATTTCTAACATTATAACTTATTCAAAAGGTGAGAATATTATAATGAAACCATGACAGGAATCTAAACTAATCAGCAAAAAGGCAGGGAACATTGTTCCAAAGAATGCATATAAGAGTGTGGAGAGGAAGAAAGTGAGTTTTAAAGAAGTCCAGGATGGCAGCTCACACCTGTAATCCTAGCCACCCAGGAGGCAGAGATCAGATGGATCAGGGTTTGAATGAAGCCAACACCAGGCAAATAGTTCACAAGTCCCTGTCTCAAAAACACCCTCACAAACAGGACTGGTGGAGTGACTCAAGTTGCAGAATGCCTGCCTAACAAACGTGAGGCCCTGAGTTCAAATTCAGTACCACAAAAGAAGAAAAGAAAAAAGTCCAGTATGGTTAGAGTGGAGAAAAGGAGGAGAGAATGGTAAAAAGAAAGTGAGGGAGGTAGGCAAGAACTATTCCAAGCTTTAACACCTAGGTGAGCTTACTTCATTATCAGTAATATGCAGGTTGTTAACATTTGCTTGTATAGGGTTGTTGCAAGGATTAAATCAGAATAGTGGCTATTCAGTGTGTAAAATAGCTCCCATTGTCATTATTGTCATTATTCTTATTACCTCCACTACTGATCTCACCAGAGTAACTTTGAGGAATTCAGGCTAAATACGAGGAACCCTTTCTAACAAGGGTGTTAAATGCAAGAATAAATTACCAGAGGAAGGACTTCTGGCCATATGGAAGACTGAGCTGACATATGCAGGTGAAGCTCTTCCTGCTACATACCAGGAGTACTAGAAGGAAATAAAAATAGCAACAAAGTTAGAATGCATCTGAGCTGCAGCTAAGCTCAAGAAAGGAAAACCCACAGGTGCTAAGAATCCTTACAGAGCCCTGTTATAATCTGCATCATAGCACTGATTTTGTCTTTTACTTTGATGCAACCACTCTGACTCTTTACTGTTCTTCCTCAAATGTATCAGGCCAATTTCCTACCTCTTAGCATTATACCTGCTGTCCAAGTCTACCCTGTATGGCCTGCTAGATGTCTTTATGGCTGACCTCCAAGACTTTCCAGGCATTATTATTGTTTTTTTTTGCTTTTGAGACAGACCTTCCCTAAGTAGCTCAGGCTGGCCGCAGTCTCCTGATCCTACTGCCTCAGCCTCCTGGTTCTGGGATTACAGGCGTGTGCTGACTACCCTTCATACTTTTTCTCTGGAGTAATCTCCCTCTTTCCTTTGCTTTTATGCCCCTCTCTCCTTTGATTTTCCCCATGGTATTATTTATTACCACCAAACATAACATTAGTTTTACAGCTTCTTTTTGTTTGTTGTTGACATCTTTCCACTAGGATGTGGCTCCATGAGGACAGAGACTTTTGTCTTCTCACCAACGCCTGGTACTATTCAGAAGTAGTCATTGAGTGAGTGACAAATTTAGACATAGTCCTTGTCCTCATTGAACCTACAAGGTAATGGCAAATGTGTCATTAAGTAATTTCTAACATTATAACTTATTCAAAAGGTGAGAATATTATAAATGAAACCATGACAGGAATCTAAACTAATCTGAAGAAGATGCCTAGAATGAAGATTGATGAGTGAGAGAAACTCAGCAAAAAAGGCAGGGAACATTGTTCCAAAGAATGCATATAAGAGTGTGGAGAGGAAGAAAGTGAGTTTTAAAGAAGTCCAGGATGGCAGCTCACACCTGTAATCCTAGCCACCCAGGAGGCAGAGATCAGATGGATCAGGTTTTGAATGAAGCCAACACCAGGCAAATAGTTCACAAGTCCCTGTCTCAAAAACACCCATCACAAAACAGGACTGGTGGAGTGACTCAAGTTGCAGAATGCCTGCCTAACAAACGTGAGGCCCTGAGTTCAAATTTCAGTACCACCAAAAGAAGAAAAAAAAAGTCCAGTATGGTTAGAGTGGAGAAAAGGAGGAGAGAATGGTAAAAAAGAAAGTGAGGGAGGTAGGCAAGAACTATTCCAAGCTTTAACACCTAGGTGAGCTTACTTCATTATCAGTTAATATGCAGGTTGTTAACATTTGCTTGTATAGGGTTGTTGCAAGATTAAATCAGAATAGTGGCTATTCAGTGTGTAAAATAGCTCCCATTGTCATTGTTCATTATTCTTATTACCTCCACTACTGATCTCACCAGAGTAACTTTGAGGAATTCAGGCTAAATACGAGGAACCCTTTCTAACAAGGGTGTTAAATGCAAGAATAAATTACCAGAGGAAGGACTTCTGGCCATATGGAAGACTGAGCTGACATATGCAGGTGAAGCTCTTCCTGCTACATACCAGGAGTACTAGAAGGAAATAAAATAGCAACAAAGTTAGAATGCATCTGAGCTGCAGCTAAGCTCAAGAAAGGAAAACCCACAGGTGCTAATAACATTGGGAGAATTCAAAGCCAAAACACAAGTTTTTACAGCAAGTCAGTAGGGGACCACGGTCGTTTTAGAGACCCAGTAGTAATTCCTCGGCAGTGCTCCATCTTTCTGCACTATACTATTTGGCTCTTTTCATCTTTCCAAAAAGCCTGTGAAAGTCCTAAGATTCACAAGCAGTTGGCAATGTCCAGACACAGGAAGGAAATGAATCTTTTCACCTCCTGTGCAGGAGAAAAACCTTTCCTGGAGGTTTTCTGTAGACCCCTGTTTACATTTATTTGACTAAAATCCTATCAGATATACATGCCTAAGCTAGTTAGATGGGCAATAAAAATGAGACCAAAGTGAATGGTTTAGAATTATTGATAATTTCCCCCAGGGGTTAGAGAAGGTCCTAGTTTCATAGTTCCAAAGAGGATGAACAAAACGCAGGGTTCTTTGCACTAGAGCAGTGATTGGTAGGAGCTATTATCATCCTGATTTGAAGGACATGAAAACCAAAGCTTAGAAACGATAAGGGACATGTATGAGGTCACAAGGCCTGCAGTGGCAAATGGGGCCTTAAACTGAGTCTAACTCTACAGTCCAAACTATAACCTAGAAGGGTGTATAATTTTTGTTGTATTTCTTTTTTTAATTCATTGTTTTGCAGGGTGAGAGTACATTATGGCATTTACAAAAGTTCTTACAGTGTACCAAATATATCATACTTGGATTCATACCCTCCCATCTTCCTTTATTCCCCCTCCCCCCCACTCCTGGAATAGTTTCAACAGGTATCATTTTTGCATTTACATACATGTATACACGTATTTGTACCATATACACCCTCCTACCCCCTTTCCCACCACCTCTGCCCTCCCACTGTTATCAATCCCCCCATCACCTCCGTTTTATTTCTGAGTAAGGTAAATAACTCATTCAGACACCAAAATGATTTCATACCTAGAATGGATTTGGACTTAAGATTGTGGTTTCTGTATTACACCTAATTTTCTGTTTGTTTCTTCATTCCCGCATTTATTTATGTCTCCATAAGTAATATTTATTTCTAAAAATTCTTGCCAAGACATGCTAAAATCACATCTTCATAAAGCTATCTCTTATTAGATAGAAGTATGAATACTGTTAGCTTACCCCACCATCTTAAATACTAATACTGTATGGGCATCATGTCTCTTGTAGTTTAAAAAGTTCATTGTATCTTTTATATGTCACTTTATTTCACTAAGTATTTATGTCTGCAAGGAATTACAAATACACGTTTAAGAATGTCTGTGAAATCAAAAAGTTTACTGTTGTAAAAATAAGGTATAAACACTCAAATTACTAGCAATTGAATTGAAGAATAGAGGGGCTGCTTTAATTTAAGTCCAAAAATGCTGCCTTTGGTCTTGGAATATTTGATTCTTAGATACTAGTTTTATACTGCAGACAAGTTATTTATCTTTTCTTAATATATTTATTTAAGCCTGGGTTTCTTCAAAAAGAAAACAGGAATGATACCATTTCATAGTTTTATCATAAGAATCCAATGTGGCATTTTATGCCAAAGTCCATACTTACTAAATGTATGTGTGTAGTTAAGAGTAAGGCATAAGAGAATAAATAATTGTCTGATTATTTGTAAAAATAGCATTGGTGTAGAGTTTAGGGGAAAAAAATACCACAGATAAGAAGCTACCATTGGGTAGTAAATAGGGAAAATGAAAACAGTATGAATGAACACCTGTTCCTGCTAGTTTAAAAAAATAAGAGGAGGAAACTGTCTGCCAGAGCTAAAGGACAAGCATGTTATTCACCTTAACAAACTTTCCTGAGAACAAGGACAACCTGTAAGCCCTATAGTATATAGCATCTAGCCCAGACTCACCAAAGTGACTTAATAAAAACAAGCTCAACTTAATTTTAAACACTATTTTGGGAGGTAAATGAGGTGCTTTTGGAACTGAATTAGCTCAGTTGGGTCAGTGTTTTGTGAGTTATTGCAGAGTACTTCTGTTTCATAAAGGCTGATAAGATTGCCCTGCTTATGTGCATCTTATTCCAAAGCACCTTTTATGTACCAGGAATAAAATTGGTTTCAAATGTGTCACCTCTGACCAATTGGTAATAAGTACCAAGAGTACTATCTTGAAAAGAATTCTAAGCTCACATCTGTGTCCATCAGGAACAGAGTTAAAATAAGGAAGTCTACCATGACTTGGGAAAAAGAAGAGAGGTGGGACAGTCCACATGCCATGCTGAGTATTTGTCATCTCTGTACTCTGCACTGGGGAAAGCTCCCATTATTTAGTGATGAGTCAGCAATACACTGTTTGCCTTTTTGTTTTACGTCTATGGTTAATCCATTCCAGTTAAATTTAAGTAATTTAGGATCATTTTCTGTAACATGTGTTCTCCTTTTGGATTAAATGTAATGTCTTATTTTAAAAGGAAGCAGATAGCAGTGACGATGAGGATACTGTTGGACCAATGCCTGCTAAGGGGCCAGTCAACTGTAGTGTAGCAGCAGAGTTTGAAAGAAGGGCCCAGAGAATGAAAGAAAAATTAACCAAAGGAGATGATGTAAGTTTTAAAGATATTTTAAGAAATAAACTCCATAGATTAAAATTTTAAGTTTTACAAATAAATGTGAACATATAATGTTTATATATTAATTGTGTGTGTGTGTGTGTGTGTGTGTGTGTGTGTGTGTGTGTGTGTACGTTTAGGAGCTATATACTCAAGACATCATAGAGGAAAAGATTGGTAAATTTGCGTGCTAAAAATATTCTATATGGCAAAAGATAGCCAAAAAATAACAAATTGGATAAAAGTACTTGTAACATATATGGCAAATGAATCTGACAAAAACATCTGTCTTTTCTGTTAAAGTCTTTAAGTTTAAAATCTCAATTGAGAAACAATTGTGCAGGATAGATAGATGATAGATAGACAGATATACTTTCTTTTTATCTTTTTTTTTCTCTTAAAGGACTCATCTAAGCCAGTTACAAGAGAGTCATGGATGACTGAGCTTCCTCCAGAAATGAAAGATTTTGGTCTTGGGCCAAGGACTTTTAAGAGAAGAGCTGATGACAAATCCGGAGATCGATCAATCTGGACCGATACTCCAGCTGACAGGGAAAGGAAAGCTAAGGTGAGAGGTTTTGTTTGCTCATGTATTAGGGTCATGTTTGTTCAGTTCTCCAAAGATACAAGGCAAAATTATTTAAGGGCACTACTTTTTGAAGTTATGATTCCAAAGGAAAAATAGATTTTCTCCTGAAGGACAGTTATAAGGAAAGAATGCTTTCGCATTTGCTTATTGTTTTCCAGTGAAGTGCCTCATTTAAAACTTAAGAAAACCTGAGGCATATGCTTATTTGAACTTATTTTATACAGGGAGAAACCAATCTCTATGAGGCAACCTTTCCTGGGATCATACCAGAGCACGTAAGCGATTAACACAAATTCCATTTTTAACCTTCCTAAATCCAAATTCCCTGGGTTTTATACAACATTATATTGTCTGCATGAAAGTATATCTTTTAAATATCTTAAAAAAAATCTTCTTGCCAGGCTTCAGTGGCTCATGCCTGTAATCCTAGCTACTGTGGAGGCTGAGATGAGAACTGTGGGTCAAGGCCAGGCTGGACAAACAGTTCATGAGGCCCCATCTCCAAAATAACCAGAGCAAAATGGCTGCAGGCATGACTGAAGCAGTAGATCGCCTGCTTTGCCAGCATGAAGCTCTGAGCTCAAGCCCCAGTTCCACCTAGAATTCTCAGGATTTCTATCTTCCTCCTGTAACTATGAATTGAATTCTTGTTCTGCCAGGCATTATGCTGAGTTGCAGGTAACAGAAAGATAAAAGTGCTCTTTAAGAAGCTTTCATTTTGGTGGAGAGTTAGTTAATGAGATAGAAGTGTCATTCTTGCAGTGTGGGCGGTACGTTGAAATCTCCATGTTTTAACACCCTGCCTGTACATCTGGCAGCGTCATGACTTCTCTTTGGGCCCAAAGATTAAAGGAAACCTGAAAATGGTAGTAGGAAGGTGAGATGAACCAATATACATGAGGACAGAAGAAACAAAAGCTGTGGTGTATGAGTGAGCCACAATGTTGAAATGCCTATCTTAGCTGATTTTTAAAATGATATATTGGAGTTTTTATTATTTAGCCTTATTTATTTATGTAGTCCTTCTGTTTCCCAGTGTAGGTGAGTAAAAATATGTCTAGCCTATAGCTCAATATGCTGGGAGTCTTCCTCAGAGGAAAATATCACAGAAAAATAGCGCAAGTGGAAACCAGGCACTACAGTTTGAACTTAAGTGAGTTTAACCCCTATGACTGAGTTCTTTTGAAATTGTCACTTTTTTCCAGTGCTGAAATGTTTTGTTCAGTATTTTTAGTAGAGACTACTGGTATTTTTTAAAATTTTATGCAATGCTGTATTACAACCTATAGTGCCACAGACTTATATCCAAACTCTACAGTACCCAGAGCTATTCCTTGTCTTTGATTCCGTGTGGAGTTTGTGACTAACTGTAGGTTAGTAGGTAGGTAGGTTTTCTGTACTTACTTCATCTTACTTTTTTTTATATTTGATTTCCCAACATTCATCTCTCATATCTCTAATGTTGTCATATTCACTTGGCCAACATGGCCTAAAAGAAACAATTACTCTTTAGAAAGAAATGAAAATGTTTTGCCTAAGTTAATTGATTGAGGTTTGTTATGTACTCACCTCCCAATCTTGATGAGATCTAATACCTCAATATCAAAGGGGTCAAGTTTTTTTCTCCATTTTAATGAAATGTTATTTTTCTCTTAGTATTTACAAATAAAAGCATCTTTTTTCTGGGAAAATTTTTATGAAAAAATGAGATATGAGCTATTCCTATTTTTATATACTTTATTAAGTGCACATTTAGTCCATTATTAAGGCAGAAATTGAAAGCGGGACTCCTTGCTTTTCCTAAGCAAAAAAAAAAGCTAAAAATATGCCTTAAGAATAATGGTTTTCTATCATTTTTCTGTGAACCTTCCTCATTCCTTGCGAGTATATTCTCTAGAATATCATTATAGCATTTGTTCCAATTACAGTTCATTGGAAGTTTATCTAAGTACTTCATTTTTGCATGTGTGCTATTATAAAAACAATTGTGTTTTATTTTGTTTCAAATTCCAGTTGTTCATTGCTGATATATTTTGTATATTGATCTTGCATCATGCATCTTTGTTATACTTGCTCATTAGTTCCAGGAGTTCTACAGTAAGTTCTTAGGGATTTTCTACGTAGATCATCATATCATCTACGAATAAAGACAATTTTATTTCTTTTTTTCCAGCATATGCACCGCTTATTTTTCTGTGGTACTGGGTTTGAATTTAGGGCTTAGTGCTTGCTAGGCACATCCCCAGCCTCATTTATTTTCCTAATATATTTTTATATTAATGATAAAAATATAATATTTTTATAATAATGATAGGTTTCCTTAGAAGCCACATTTCCCTACACCTTGTCATTGTTAGTTAAAACTTATCCTGAGTTTGATAAGTAGATGATTTCTTCCAGTTAGTTGATTGGTAGTGGTTTTTTGTTTGGTTTTGTTTTTCTTATTTTCAGGAAAATCATGGTCTGGTCCACTTACTGATCCCTTATCAAGCACATAAATATTTCTTACTGGAAGGAATTCAATAAGCCTGACTTAGTTTAGTCTGTTGTTACTTAACCTAAGTAAAAATAATGGTACTTCTTTTTTTATTTTATCTTTAATAATGTGTTTTCTGTGTTCATTCTTCAGGAAACACAAGAAGCAAGGAAGTCATTGACTAAGAAGGATGAAGAATATATATTGTCAGGAAGAGATAAGAGATTGGCTGAGCAAGTATCCTCATACAATGTAAGTAAGAAACGCAGCATATAATCTCTTATTTTTCTCAGCCTGGATCTTGCTATGTAGTCCAGGCTGGCCATGAACTCATGATCCTCCTGCCTCAGCCTTCTCAGTATTGTAATTACAGACATTGACCACCATCACCAGCTGATCTCTTATTTTGCTGTATTTTAGTTCTTTGTTTTTTTCTTTCTCCTTTTATCGTTTTTACATTTACTTACATGTGTATACATTGTTTGTGCTGCCTCTCCCCTTCCACACTGTTCTTTAGTTCTCTTCTCATTTTTAATTTTCTCATTTCTTTTCCTTTCATGTGACTGTCTCTTTACCTCAGACATTTTCTATACGTAGCAATTTCATATTTAGCATAATCTGTTAACAGATGTATATGAACGAGTACTTCCTTCCTTAGAAGTTTTATTCCATCCTTTTCCTCCTTGAATTGATAATTTTGCTTCTCTTCTGCTACAGAATCTTACTGAAATGGAATTCACTTTTATACTTCAAAGTCTTTTATGACTATTGTTAAATCTTATTTCTGCAACAAAAATATGTGCAGGAATTGAAATTGGAAAGCACTTTTTTTTAATTTCCTTTGAGTGTTTAAATGTCAACACATTTTTTTCTTCTGGATTAAGTTGTAATTTCAGTTGATCAAAACAATGTGAATGCAGATTTTGATAAATAATTATTGAGTATGTTGCAAATTTTGTTAAGTAATTTTATTTTTATTATGCACAAAAAGTTAAATATAAATTTAATTTAATCTCTTAATGAAAGACTTTTTGTTGCTTAGTTCCTGGTCTTTGGGTGAATGTTACTTACTGCTAGAAGAAGGTTTCAGCATCAGTTGTGTTTGTTATGTTGTTTTGTTTGTTTTTATTGTTCTAAGGGTTAAGAAACCAAGTTTACATAAAGAAGTAAGTAGGAATGGAACATAGTCTGTTACAGTGATATCATTCAATTCTTTGAGCAATTTGACTTATTTTCTTAAACCTTATATTGATCTACTAAAATTATTAATGATCTCTCAACTGTCAGCTCATGAGGATCTCTTTTTTTATTTTTCACTTTGGTCCCATTAATTTGTTTTTTCATTCTTTCCAAATCTGTATAATGGGATAATAATATTTAATTTATAGAGATGTTGTGTTGGTTACATAGAGTAAATCCTCAGTACATTTAACATAGCATTTATTGATTGATTCTTATGTGCCTTACACTGTAAAATCACTTAACACCTTCCTCACCCAAATATTTGAAAATTATTGGTATAAATACTGCTGTTTTACAGCTAGGAAATAAGATTTAAGCCACATAGTTTTTTTGTTTTGTTTTGTTTTTCTTGTGGTACTGGGGCTTGAACTCAGGGCCTTTACCTTGAGCCACTCCACCAGTCCTATCTTTGTGAAGGTTTTTCAAGATAGTATCTCACAAACTATTTTCCTAGGCTGGTTTTGAACCACAATCCTCCTGATCTCTGCCTCCTGAGTAGCTAGGATTGCAGGTGTGAGCCACCACCGCCCAGCAGAGCTACATTGTTGAAAGCTCAGGATGATCATTTTTTTTTTTATTTTGCTGGGTGGGGGTACATTGTGGCATTTATAAAAGTTCATACAATGTATCAAATATATCTTATTTAAATTCACCCGCTCCACCATTCTCCTTTATTCCTCTCTCCCCCCATTCCTGGAATACTTTTCAATAGGTATCATTCAATAGGTATCAATAGGTGTGCATTTACGTACATGTATACACAATATTTGCACTGTATTCACCCTCCTACACCCTTTCCCCACCACCTCCTACCTCCCCGCAAGCAGGATCTGTTCCACTCTTCTGTTCTCCATTTTTATAAAAGAAAAAAAGAATAAAAAGAAAGAAATGACATTTTTGCTTATTTAAAATAAAGGTAGCTACACAGGGAGTTTCGTTGTGACATTTCCATACATATGTATTATAACCCCAATTGGTTCATTGCCTCTATTTTTCTTCATTTTACCTTACTCCTGTTCCTGTGGTGGTTTCAACTGGTTTAAAAATTCTATATTCATTCTTGTATAGAGAGTACGTCAACCATATTCACCTTCTTAGTTTCCTTCTTTTACCCTCTCTTGTGTGTGACCTCCCCTTAGTGTGACCTGTCTTTCATAATATTGCCACATTTGTATTAGGTCAGTATTCCACATATGAGAGGAAACCTGTAGCTTTAGGCCTTCTGAGCCTGGCTAACTTCACTTAAGATGATGTTCTCCAGTTCCATCTATTTACCTGCAAGACAAAATTTCATTCTTCTTTGTGGCTATGTAGAATTCCATTGTATGTAAATGCTACGTTTTCTTAATCCATTCATCAGTAGTGGGGCATCTTCCTGTTTCCATAGCTTAGCTATTGTAAATAACGCTGCAATAAACATGGATGTGCAGGTGCCTTTGTTGTAACCTGACTCACATTCTTTAGGGTATATCCCTAGGAGTGGTATTGCTGGATCATATGGCAGTTCTATTTTTAGTTTTTTGAGGAGCCTCCAAACTGTTTTCCATAGTGGTTGTACTAACTTACATTCCCACCAGCAGTGTATGAGGATTTCAGTATGGTCATTGGGCCCAGATTTTTCTGAATTTGACTTAAATTCCTAACTATTTCTTCATCCTATATTTACTGATAGCCTGTTTTGTTCTAACTATATTTGATTTTTTTAACCTCCTTTTTGTTGAAAATAAATAATTAGGAAGTGCTTGATTTGCAAATCAGTTTGTTTCTAAAAGTATCATTAAATGACAAGGAAGTGCTTTGTTTAACTCAGCATATTGAGCAGGGCTGGAAAAATGGAAATGTGCTAATTTAAACACATATTTACTAATGTAGTGCCTTTTATACTTTCTGCCAACACATTATAGCTCCAGATTGAGCATTCAGTTTATTAGAAATGTCTGCCACATAATCTAAGTGACAGTAATATCTTATTTTCTAATCAGCCAAGTCAGACTTAACTTTGAGAAAGTCTGACTTCATTTTTTCTGTTCAAATAAATGTGTTAGTGATCATTCCTATGAAACTTCTGAATTCTAAAGTTGGTAGATAAGTTTCATCAGTTGTCCTCTGGATAACATATGATGCTGCCATTGATGCTGCCACCTCAACCGTGCCTTGTTGTTTGCATTCACTGAGCTCTCTCCACTTCTTTGCTCTCATGTATATTCTTTGATGTAGTCAGGACCTTGAAGAGATATATTTGTTATGCAAACAACTTCCATTGCCCCTTTCTTCCATTGCCCCACTTTTCAATATATCTAAATTCAGAATATTCCAGCAAGAGCCAAAACACCCATATCTAAAGGACACTACATTCTCATGAGAAATATGTTGATGACACAGAAGGACACAAAATCCTCCTGGCTTTAACAATCTTTGATTAAAGGAAGTTTTGTTCATTCCGAAGGACACAAAATCCTCCTGGCTTTAACAATCTTTGATTAAAGGAAGTTTGTTCATTCCAATACTTCAGATTTCTCTGTTAGGTGCCAAACAGTATTCTATAGTCTCTTTATGACCATAAAGAAGGGAGAAGCACCATGACAAGAAGCTTTAGAGGGCAGTAAAGGTCAGTAAAAGCTACATGAAAAAGTTGAGAACCACATGCTAATTATCTTAAAATTGCACACATTTTCATATCCTACAGAATCCACTCCATGTAGCCCCAGATACATATACCCCACTTTGAAGGCTGTTGGTCTGCTTTACCTTTATCTAGTCCTTTGTCTCCTCCCTGATTCTTCAATACTGGGACATTATATCCTGTCCCTTAATCTACTCAGAAATCTACAGTGAATCCCTAATTTATTATTATTTATTAAAAGCTCTGCCTGTCCTCAGAACTTATCTTACTAGATATATCCAAAAGTGTGAACACTTAGCTAAGAAGAAAGGGGGAAATAAGGAAAAAGAGAATGTAAAGAACCTAAATAGAACAAATTTCTCTTTGCTTCTGTAACATGCCACCATCTCCTGTACAACCCTTGAATTTTGCTACTTCTCTGCTCTTCATTTCTCTATTTCATTTTTGTTTATTTTAACCTATCAATGTCTTCCCTTCTGTCTACCCGTTTACGCTTCAGAGACCAGTGCATCCATGAAGTGAGAATGTAATTGCTGTTCCTTTCACACCCATGTTCTTAGTTTATACTCTTAATTATTAGTACTTAAACATAATGAATTTATTTTCCCTTTCTCTTACTCATATTTTAATGCATGACATGTAGTTAATAAATATCTTCATTTTAATTGAATTGAATTTGCCTCTGATATATATTTTCTTCATAGAAACCATATCTTGGTTTGGAAAACCCTTTTGGGGTTTGTAAATAGCCCTTTTTAATGTGCACTGTTGCTGCCTAATTATTCTGTTTCATGATCTTGTTTTCTCAATAATCTATACAAGCTAAGGTTTTTATTCCTGCTCTTCTACTTTTTCCAGGAATCAAAAAGATCAGAATCTCTTATGGACATTCATCATAAAAAATTAAAGAATAAGGCTGCTGAAGATAAAAATAAGCCTCAAGAGAGAATACCATTTGATCGTGATAAGGATCTCAAGGTTAATCGATTTGATGAAGCTCAGAAAAATGCCCTAATAAAGAAATCTAGAGAACTAAACACCAGGTTTTCCCATGGCAAAGGCAATATGTTTTTATAAGTAAGTATATCTCAGTGAGGTACATTTTCATGCTGATCAATTTGAACCTTTCTAAATGCTCTGTTGTTTGTGATCATTATGTGCCAAAATATATTTCCTTTTACAGTAAAGTAGATTAAAAACTTACATTTTTGTAATTAAACTGTGATTGTTGAAAAGTCAGCCTTACAGAATAAAAAATGTGCTTTACTGGAAAAATAGCCTTGCCCTCATAATAACCTACCAGGGTGTTGCTGTGAAAAATGCTAAAACAAAGTTCGACTTCAGAGAAATGACAATGCAACTGTGGAATGGAGCATAGGTAAATATGCATGCTTTATTAAAGAATGAAGAAAGGAGATTTGCTGGTAGTCTTTTTGTTAAATAAGATCCTAATTAGGAAATGTTCATTGGTTTGGAAGGCCCTCTGTAAGTGTAGTTGAACTCATGACCCCTTTCATCCACAGTTCAAACTGACAAGAATTTGTGATGGCGACAAGTTAAAAATGTTTTCCAGCTTACTGAATTCCCTTATTATTACCTCAGAGGAATTGCTCTGTGCAATGAAAATGTGCAAAGAAAAGCTGAAGAATATTCTTTTGTCTGTCCATCCACCTTTATACTTTGTTATGGGTGTTTTAAGATTAGAGAATAATCTTAAAAAGCATACAGATGCACCTTGATCTGTGTGTCCGTTAAGGTCATTTGAAAACAAAATCAATGGTTCTTATGTAGAATAGACCATTTTTATGTGCCTTTGACTTCTGAGAACGTATAGGCTCTTCTTCATATAATTATTTTAGAGTCTTCCCCAACACACACTCTAACCCCTTACTTTTGTGGTGTCTCACATGTTCCTTCAAAGATCTGGCCAGGGCTATCCACTGAATCTCTACCACAGTCTGGACCTTTTTGTCAAAAATACCTAACCTGCTCTGAAGTGCATCTGGTCCTCGAATTTGAACTTGGTTGGTTTTTGCCTCCAAACTGCAGCAAGTGAATATACATTTTCCTAAAAATAGAGGGTATGGAGTTTTGGGCGTTAGTTGTCAAATTTACTTGCTTTGCCACTGGGGACTTTTGATTTGCTGTGTAGAGGATTTTTGTTGTTGGTTTGTTTGTTTATAAGTCAGAAATGGGTTACCTCACAGTAAGGAAAAGGTATTTTGATTTTTCCAACTTTAATAATAAGCATTTCTAGTGGTGTCTAGTGTGACAATCTGAGGGACTATTATCAGTATGAATCTGGGAGACTGACTGAGCCCTAGAGCACTGCTTTGGGATGATCTTACTTTCCCCATTTATTTATTTAACTGTTTGTAGCTAATTTATTGGAATCAGATCTTTTCTAAAAATCACAGATAAACTTTTTTAAAAAATTAAACTAATAATCACTGGATACACAAATGGAAAGGGACGTCTGTAATGACAACCACCCTCATGGGTGGTTGTAATGCTTTAAGCACTGCCTCTTAAAATATTATACAGAAACTTCTAAATAGTTAAATAGAGCCTAAGTGCAAATCCTATAAATTATGTTTTCTTGCAGGTTAATTTCACTTGTTCTACTAGTTTTTGTGTTCTAGTTTTGATGAAGCACAGGTTTAATGGAAAGATCCTAATTGCCAGTTTATGTAAACTTTATGAAAATTGTAAACTGTTTAAATTATGGTGTAAATTTCTCTCCTTTTAATAGTAGTAGCAGTACATTATTTTTATAATAGCTATTTAGCAATAGCCTACTAAAGGGGAGTTGCTATTAAAAACATGAATTACTCTCCTAAGTAAATTGAAAAAGTTTCTTGTCTGAACAAAATTGGACAGAGTTACCATTTAACTAAAGATGTCACGTTTTGTGGGTAATAGTTTATGAACAGAAAACTTTATGCAAGAGTATCCATTCCAAGGTCAGGATGTGATGGTGTGTGCCTATAATCCCGGCTACTTGGGAAATAGAGACAGGAGTATGGAGGTTAGAGTCCAGGCTTGGAAAAGTTCGCCTGAAGCCCTACCTCAAAAACAAACTAGCCAGGCTGGCGCTGCTGGTTCACAAATATAATCCTAACTACTTGGGAGACAGAGATCAGGATTGAAGTTTGAGGCCAACCCGGGCAAATAGTTCACAAGAGTAGCTCAAAAATACCCAACACAAAAAAGGGCTGGGAGAGTGGCTCAAGTAGTAAAGCACCTTGCCTAGCAAGGATGAGGCCCTGAGTTCAAACCCCAGTGCCACCAAAACTAAAAGCAAAAGGGAAGGGGGACTTGACTCAAGTGGTAGAGCACTTGCCTAACAAGCCAGAAGCCCTGAGTTCAGTCTACAATCTCTGAAAGGAATCAGAATGATTCTGTATTATCTGTTTACTGTTTATCCCTTGATCTTTAACAAGTCTGTGACCTTGAATAGAGGAAGAAGCCTCTCTTTTCTGCCTGAGACTTGCAGGAGTTACTATCTCACTGGCACCCAGGAGCTAATGCTCTTTTCTGCCACCCTGAGGACAATTTTAACAGAATGGTCACTTGCAGAGGTTTTCAGCCCCATGAAGGGAAGAATCCTAGTACAACATTGACAATGTGCATTTTCTGTGCACAAAATGGAAAGGTGTTCTTCATTTCATTCCCTCCCCCTGCAAAGCTGCAGAAGGCCTACTTGAATCAAGTCTGCTGTCCATATGTTGACATTTTCTATTAAGAACTTTTTAATTTCCTACATTTCTTGGCAAGCTTTTTTTAAGACTGTGCCCCCACCTTTTGAAATATAAAAATGAGGAAGAAGAAAAGATCAACACTAAATTCATAAAGTGGAGCAGAAACTTTGCCATTCTTTACCATTTAAGGTAACATTTCAGTTCACCAGATCTGAAATTTATATGATTTTGTCCAACTCCCTAAGTTGTCATCTCAGGTAATTTAGATGCTTCAAACAGGAACTACATTCTGGTAAGTAAATGGTAGGGTTATTGGATTTAACAGGTGGGGAAAGAAGAAGGAGAGAAGAGTAAGAGATGGTGACTATACCCATAATAAGGCTTTATATTAGGCAAAACACAGGAAATTAGACCCTGCTCTTAAAAAAGTCACAGTCTTCCTAAGAGTTTTTAATTTTGTTTAGATGGAGCACCACTTGACAATTTAACTTACTACTTTGGTATTTAATGATTCTTTGAATTAATGATTTTTCTAGAAGGAAGGTTGAGATTCCCATGGTACTGAGCCTTACACACTCCAGAATTTATTAATAGCTATTAAATTTTTTATTCAAAAGCATTATGGTACTTTTTGTTTCTTATGTAGGGTAGATAATGTTGAGATTATTCTGAAATTGTAGAATTGTGGGAGATAGCTATTAAACTTATAAGAGGTCCTCATCCCTTATTAGAAAAAGTTCTCCAGTAAGTTATACCTAAGAGGAAGAATCAACGTGGAGGGAAGTGGCTAGAGATAGTGCCCATGTGACATCACTAGTCAAGTCTTCTATTTCAGAGTATTACTTTATTTTGCTTCTCCTTTAATGCCATTGTGAGATTTAAGCCTCCAATTACAAAACTAATGCTACTGTAGAAGATGTTTTTTTGTTTTGGGGGGTTTTTCAGCTTAAAAATTTGTTTAAAGGGGGTTGGAGCTGTGGCTCAGTGATAGAGTGCATGCCTAGCACCCTGCGTTCAATCCCCAGCACTAAAAAAAAATTGTTGCAATGGTATGTACAAATTAAAAATCTGTGCCCTTTCAAGCTTTTCATTTTGAGCATTACAATTAAAAGACTTTAGAAAGGAATTCTTGGAGTGTAATTTTATGTATAAAGAAAGTTCCATCTATATCTGGAAAGTTGTGGTTTCTGTTATTAGCTTTTCTGAAGCAGAGAATATTCTGTACGGTTTATTCTGGCAAACCAGATCATTGTGGGATCTTAGGGGAAAAAAAGAGGCTTTCACCCCCAACTCCTTTGCCAGGTGCTCATTGTACCATTACCTGTATTACCTGTTTACCTAATTTTATCCCATTACGTATTTACTTAGGAACACAGGACAGACAAACTGGAAATGCTTTTAAGAACATCGTGGCACAGGAGGGACTGGTACTGAGTTATAACTTCATATCACAGGATATATAACAGAGGGTGGGTTTTTTCTGAAATGTTTGACTACGAGTGGTTTTGTTTTGCTTGGTCTCTCCACTTCCCATATTGGAATGATCAAAAGAGATGTTCTGCAATATAAAAATTAATCATTGGAGTTTGGCTCAAGCTGTAGAGTGCCTCCTTTGCAAGTGTGAAGCCCTGAGTTCAAACAGGTCCCACGCACACACAAAAAAAGTTAATCATTCCATTAACTTTTTTTTATTATTGTTTTATTATTCATATGTGCATACAAGGCTTGGGTCATTTCTCCCCCTGCCCTCACCCCCTCCCTTACCACCCCCTCCATTAACTTTTTTAACAGGAGTCTGAACGTATCAGGCCATAAAGAGAGAGTCCTTCGTTTCTCAGATCATTTCCATATAGTAAGTACTGCTTGAGGAACTGGTATGTGTGTCCATTCATTCAGTAAACATGTATTAAGTGCTTCTGCATGTACTAGGTGCCAAGAAAACAGTGAACCAAATAGGCATGGACCTTGAGAGGAGATTCTGCTGGTCACTACAGGTAAGGAAAGCAGACTCTGGGACACATGGTTTTATATTCTAAGAGAGAGCAAAGAAAGATCTGAGGAGAAAAGATCAAGTAAGTGTAAATTGTGCTAGATGTTAGGAAGAAAACAGGTAGTGAGAAGCTGGAATACATAGTTGAGGGTAGGAATCCTGTTTAGGTGGGAGTGATAGGAAAAGGCTCTGAAGGTGTGACATTTAAGCTAAAAATTAAAGCATGGAAAATGACCTAGCCATGTGAACAGAGAGCACAATTGCAAAGGCCCTAAAGCATTAATCCTGTGGTGTTTAAGAACTGCACCAGTGTTTGCAGCATACAGTGGCTCAGGATTAGGCCTTGCTATTGATACTGAGCCACCCATATAAGGAAATCAAGCCCAACCCTGGAAGGTCAACAGAAGCCTCCCAGTGAGAACACTTTTTAACCAAGTTATAAACATCCCAGAGGAGCTGACTAGAAGGCGCTGATAACCAATAGTTTACCCTACTGGCCTCCCAGAATTTCCCAAATACATCTAAATTCGTACCTTATGCCTTGCCCCAAAGACTTCCTGTATCAAACTCCACTAATAACTGTCCCCAGTTATCAGAAGATTTTTACATTGAAGTGACATTGAGCCTACATTTTATCACCAAAACTGCAAATTAAGAATACTGGTTTTTCAGAAATTATTGTAAATTCCCCCAGCCCTAATTATTGAGAGCTGTACACAGTTTTTAAGGACTAAATAGCACCAGATCAATCCAGCAGATATCAATTTATTAATTAATCTTTGGACCTCCAAGACATATCAGAATCTTTGTCCTTAGGGGCTGAAAAATACAATAATCATTCTGTTGCTTATTTTATAAATCTTGAGCCACCTCTATCTGAGTATATTCGCCTGGGGAGCTTGATTAAATGCAGATTCCCATACCTGCCTCTACTGAAGAATCTCTTAAAGAGTCTGAGAATCTCTTTAAAAGAATATATATATATATATATATATATATATATCAAGGTTTGTAAGTACTTTAAATTTGTGAGAATCTCCATTTTTTTTAACACTTATCCCAGGTCGTTCTTTATAAACTCAAGTTTGAGAGGCACTACACTTATATGTTCCTGCAAACAATCCCTTCTCATGTCATATGTTCCACTCTACTGTGTTATATATGCCTAAATACCTAGTTATTTCATAGCTATTATCAGTTCCAAGTATACTTGCCTTAGAAAGAGTGCATTGTCACCTCTGTTGACTCAATTAATTCCTAAATGGCTTTATTCTTTAAACATCATTAGATTTTGCCTGCTGCCAGGCACCTTTTAAAATAGAGAAGCCTCTAGGAATAATTAAGTTGAAAAAAAAAAAGTCCTGGCCCCTGGCTGACTTGCAGCCCTGACTGAGCACCCAGAAAGTGCAGAACATTCAGAAGACAAGGAGTAGAAAATGGGGAGCATGGGATGCTGAAGATACATTCCAAAGGGTACACACTACCCCTTGCCTATTTTCTTTGGGGGCAGTTAACTAATGTTACTAGCAAGCTTTGAAGTCTTACATAACTGTGTTTTGGCAACTAAGGTATTTTAGCTAAAGAACTCCAGAAACAAACGAGTTTACTTTTAAATACCAGTTTCTGCATATTCTGACATAGGAAGGACAACAGATAAAAGAATGTTTAAAAGTAGCAAAGTTTTTCTTGCTTTGAGACCCAGAAAAATTTCAAGGACCTATTATAGAATATTCAAAAGGAACATTTCAAAGCTCATTTTCAAAGTCCCTTCTCCACTGCCCAGTCCTTTATAGAACTCCCATTTGGTTTCCTTAGGATGGGTGATGTTGGCCAAACAGACAGTATGAAACTGTTTTGTCTTCATTATAGTCAGAGCTCTGAGAGGAAAAGAAACTTGCTTCTTTATAACTGGGTACAAAAGAAGAAATGCAGTTGCATGTGTGTATAATATGATTTGTGTCTCCTTAGGTAATGGCTGGAGGCACTTTTTGCTCACCTGTGGATGAATAATACTGTAATGCCTAATTCACACAACACACTGTTTTGTTGTTTGTGATCTTTCTATGTAGCCCAAGCTGGCTTTGAACTTGGAAACCCTTGTTTCTACATTTGTAAGAGAAGGAGGGGAGAGTGAGAGGAGGAGGAGAGAGTGAGAGGAGGGAAAGGGAAAGGAGGGGGACGGAAACAAAGGGGAAAGAACAAAAGGAGGAGGAGGTGAGGAAGAGAAAGAAAAGGAAGAAAAAGAAGAAGAAAAATTATTCTCCCAGGCTTCTTGGTGTTAGAACATAGGCCTATGGCCTGGGTTCTACCGATCATGTGTACCTACATGAGTTGGACTCCTATAGGAGAAGAGGAAAGAAGTAGGTATTCCCAAAATTATCTTCTGGTGGCCGTGAAGAAGACATGGGGAGAAGTGCCCATGTCTTCAATAGCAACAGAAGTAGCACTTCTGGCATCTGGCCCCGAGCATCATGGGTGCCAGCTGTCTTGTCTGTGAGCCTTGCAGCAGTAGTGTAGAGTGTTGGCGATCATGGGCCTCACCATGGGCACACTGCAGTGTGAGTGGACATATCTCCGCTTCTACAACTTCTGGGGCTGCTTAAATTAACCAGAGTAGCTTAGCTGGTTTGCATCTAACAGTCCTGGCCACTATAAGGGAGTGAACTAAACTAAGAACATAAATGTTAGGCACAGCAGCCTGGGTTCAAACCCGGACTCTGCCACTAGCTATATAAACTTGAGAAAATTTCTTAACCTATTGCAACTGTAATTTCTTTGTCTTTTCCATGAGGGAAATGATATTGACCTCACAAAACATTATGAGGATTACATGAGATGATATATTTATGCAATTAGTTCAAAGCTCAGCAAAAAAAAGAGGCTGTTATTATTATAGCCTCCTGGATAATAGGCCCACTGCAGATGAGTCACTCATTTTTTGTGGGGGAAGGCTACTGGGGCTTGAACTCAGGGCCTAAACCCTGAGCCACTCCACCAGCCCCTTTTTTTTGTGAAGGATTTTTTTTGAGGTAGGGTCTTGTGGAACTGTTTGCCTGGGCTGGCTTCAAACCTTGATCCTCCTGGTCTGTACCTCCTAAGCAGCTAAATTACAGGTGTGAGCCACTGGTGCCCGGCTTCACTCATTTCTTAAGACCTCTGCATCAGTGGCTGGGGTTGTAGCTTAGTGGTGAAGCATTTGTCTAGCATTTTTGAGGCCCCAGGTTTGATCCCCAGCATTAATTAATTAATTAATTAATTTTTTAAAAAGATAATTCACTCATCTTGCTATATGCACATTTTCCCCAATACTTTTTTTTTTTGTGGGACTGGGGTTTGAACTCAGGACTTCGCTCTAATGCTTGAGCCACACCTCCAGTCCTATTCACTTATCTAGAATGAAAAGTCCAGAGGGTAGCCCTGGCTTAAGGTGTAACTGGATCTGGATGTTCAAAATATGTCATCAGGACTTTGTCTCTAGCCCTCAGCCTCCTTTCCTTTGTGTGGTCTTCTTTCTTGGATGGCCTTCCAAGTGATGACAAACATGGATAGAAGCACCTCTAAAGTGACATCCTACCAGATTAGCCAGCCAGTGGAGAAAAAAAAAAAGATAAAGATGCTCTTTCCCAGTAGTTCTAACCAAAGTCCAAGAACTGATGCTCACTGGCTGTAAGGATCAGCTTTGGCCCCTTGTTCACCCCTACATCAATCATATACAACACCAGGCTGGTTCATATCCCCCACCCACGGGGCCAACAGGTAAGTTATTCTTAGTCTAAACCACATAGACTAAGAATGTGGCAGGGCAGTTCCCAAGTGAAAGCGGAAGTGCCATCTTTGAAAACAAGAGTAGCACACTTCCAGAGGCAAGAATACCCGATGCTTTCTTTGATCCCATCTCACCTACAATTTGCCTAATGTTCTAGTGGAAATCCCAGAATTTTGCTTACCGAACAGGTATCACGCCTGTCAGTTCACCTCAGGTTTGCCAACGTTAGTGGCTGGCCATTGTGACTCCCCCTTCCATCATATTTATGAGAATCTATTTGAGAGACAGGGAGGGAGCAGGTACACACTGACATGCTTTAGAGACAATGTGGCCAGGGTAAGTTCTGTACAGGAAGATGGTACTGTTTCTAAATACCTGCCTGTCCCCTCATTACTCACTTCCCTTAAGTCCTCTGACATCAAGAAGTACATTTACCACAAACAAGGTAAATGAGAAATGAGGACATCACCATTATTCATCACATTCAGCTGCAATTTATAAATCACGGTGCAATTCTACGTGATTTATTTAGCCTTTCCCTCAACAATAAGAAAGACAAAAAATGAAAATGAAAAAATATGAAGGATTGCCAGCTCCAACCCAGTCAATAGCAAGGAAGCCCGCCTGACTTTGGCAATTAATCATGTCTCTGGTTAGAAGTCAAATGACTTCTCCTTCTAAGGAGGCCCTAGAGAGAGGGCCAAAGTAAGAACCAGATTCAACCTCACTCCTTCAAGCCCAAGACGGGGTCTACTATTAGCAACCCCAGCTACTCCTCATTGTGTCGGGGCAACTGACACGTGGTTACTGGCCTCCTAAGTGCTCCGCACTTTTCTAGCCTTAGTACTGCAATTTGTAAATTGATAACTTGTAAATTTATCATTCCAAAGACAATGAAAGATGGGAGGCTTCGTTATACAAGGAACTATTCCCAAATGGCTTTGTTTATGCTGCCTAACAAGCAGTTGAGCTCCAAAGTGGGCAGTAATGGTAATTTAGGGGTTAATAATACAAATTATACTCATTTGCGAATGAGTTTGAATTCTCGCTTTTAATGCAGAAAATGGTTCAAGTCATTTAGACCAACTTGGTATGTAGCTAAGCCAAAAACTGATAGAATATTGGGTAATAGAAGAGAGAAGAGAAGATCAAGGGGAAGGAAAAAACTGTACTACACTTGGACACACCTATGGGGTTTCTGAAAAAGTGTTTCCTGCACAAGTTTTTATACCTCAATGAAAAACAGAAATGTAATGAAGAACTAGAAAACAACTAAATTGATTAATTCCTGTCTACAAATATTTATTGAGCTTCCTCAATGTGCAAGACACTGGTCTGGGGATAAAAAAATAAATGAGACATGATCTTTAACCTCAATCTAGTGGGGGAGACAGGTACACAGAAATGGCTGTAATTGTGCCATGCAGTGAGCACAGGACCGAGAAATGCACAGGTATTGCCTGAGGTCACAGGGGACAGGCACCAGGGATGCCTGGAGATGAGCTGAGGACAAAAACAGAAAAAGAGGGGTACAAAGGGCTGGAGGGGGAAGTATGGTTGCTGCTGTGAGAAAGACCAGTTTGAAAAGAAAGAATAGGGGAGGGGACAGCCGGGCTAAATCAGTGAAAGCAGATTAGCTACAAGACTGGAGTTGGCCTTGAACAAACAGGAAGAGGACCCAGCATCCAAAACTAGAAAAAAAGAAAATGAGAATGATGCCTGGGATAGATAAGTTTCTAGGTAGACGGTCAGAAAATTAAGGGAGATCAAACCTAGCATACTCAATTTGTGGGAATAGAAGGGTTTTAACCTTTTTGGAGTCATGAGGATCTGAGGAAGAAAAACCTGTGGAAGTTTTCCTCTCAAAAAAGCACATTACCAAAATTTTTATATACAATTTCATTTTTCCAACC